CGGCGGAGCTCGGTGTGAAAAAGAGCCGGCTCTTACGTCCGTAAGACTACAAGCTATACTGGACGAGGAAATTGCAGGAGACTAGATGGCTTGTGAAGCTGCACTTGGCCGCGCAGTCGGAAGACGAGCGCAAGCTGGTCAGACATGTTTCAAAGGGCCCGAGAGGAGGCATGTCGAGTCCTCAGCAAAAGGCGTCTCAAGGGACGTGTCGGTAGAGGGTTCGGCGCATATACCGAAAGATGGAACATGAGGGAATCGGTCGAGGCCGAGGCGGGGGTTAGCGCAGGGAAAGCTTGATCGAGTTTTGTCGGCCGTCGCCATCAGCATGAATCAGGCAGGCGCGATCAACAGCTGAGCTTTGCGATACAGCAATAGCGACCATCGACACTCTGCCTTATCATCAACATGGTTCTATTGCAGCACCTACAGCGCCAAGTCGCCCGCGCCTCGACAGGCCGTCTCGCTGCCCATCCTTATAGAGTCGCCAACCAAATCTGGAGGCCGCAACAGCGAGCACAATTCCACAGGATATTCAACCAAAAGACTGCCCACACGTCAAACAACACGGCCACATGGCGACAGCTACTCTCCCGCTTCCGCAATCCTTCCTCCCGGCGATGGAACAGTTCAAGGCCCAACCCTGACCCCACACCACATCTCGGTAGCCCAACACCACAGCTCTCCTTCTTTCAGCGTTTCAAACAGCTCGGCAAGGAGTATGGCTGGGTAGTGACTGGTGTCTACTTTGGACTCTCCGCTTTGGACCTTCCCTTCTGCTTCCTGGCTGTCAGGGGCCTGGGCACCGACCGCGTCGCCCGCTGGGAGCACGCCATCGTCGGTACCATCAAGGATGCTGTCAAGGCCGTCATGCCTGACGTGGGCGCAAAGGCCGACGAGGTCGTGGAACAAGTCGAGACTGCTGTCGGCAGTCCTGCCGCTAGGGAGGGCAACGTTTGGGGTGTCCCAGAGGCAGAGGCGCGTAACAACGAGGAAGCATGTACGTTCATTCACTCACAAGTTTCATCAACATTTGCAGCTAACACGCCTGAAGCACTTTGGACACAATTCGTTCTCGCCTACGCCATTCATAAATCCTTCATCTTTGTCCGAGTACCACTGGCTGTAGCCGTCACCCCAAAGGTCGTCAAGGTCCTAAGATCTTGGGGATGGCAGATTGGAAAGAAGAAGCTCAAGTCGACAAAGTCGATTAAGCCGTAAAAAAGGATACAGCATTTTTAGACAAGAACGAGCTATCACTGTAAGAATACACAATTGTACAAAAGTACGAAAAGGAGAATCTCGCTCTCTTTTACATGTCAGGAAACAAGAAGGGGCACATCATTGTATACTAGGAAACGGGCGCAAAGAGGAACGCGCACACCAAGCAATCATTTTTTTTTCTCCATCTCTCCCACTTTTGTCTTTCTCAATCAACTATTTCGGCGTCCACAGCCATTGGCAGATGTGATTTTTCATTACCAAAAGACAGAGCAAACCAGAGCAGCTATGGTAAGCGAGGACAAGTAGCAAATCAACTCATGATTACCTAGATATACAGCTTCTGAAACCGTATAGCAAAAGCTGGATTAACAAACCTTGACTGCTAGCCAGAGATCACCTGTAAGACAACGATGCGTTACTGAGCTGTACTGACCTTCACCGTCTACGCCTCCCGTTTACCAGATCGGGATTAGTTTGAAGTTCTATAAAGACTCTATGTCTGCTGTGTATGGATATATATATAACCCTATTCTGTACACTAACCCAACACATCTATAAAGCTGGCCGGGTGGTCAATTCCAGCCCAAGCAACACGGAAGAGTCTCCTCTATGCTGAACCATCCTGTGGGATCCAATCTAGATGCATTTCTTTCCATGCCTTCTTTGTAGTCGAGAGCACTCGTGCCCTTTAGTTATTAATGGTGGACGCCAATCTCTCGATGCCATACCTGTCGGCATGAAGGAATTGGGCTCGTTCAAGTGTTCTGGTGTGAAAGCACGGATCTCTTTCTTGTGTTCTGGTAATACACATGTGTCTTGATGTGATCCAGAGCCCGCGCCTGGCTGACACAAAAGAAATTGTCCAGTCTTGAGGGCGCTTGATCAGATCTTCTGCAAACAGGCCTAGCAGAATTTCAAAGCACCACTTTCGAGATGTCCGCTCCTTCGCTAATCTGTTGATTGCAAGCCGATGTATCAACGTAGCCAATGGTGTATGTTCGTCATGTCGTGTACAAGGTTAAGACGAGAGCGGAGTGTGTGCGCAGTGTCCGTCCCATCTCCTCTTCTTAATCCTCGCCAGCCGTGCCTGGCATCACAGTTTGATACACTAGACTTTTGGTGGATTTACATCTCTTCCTTTGTGCCTCTTTTAGTAATCATCTCTTGCTTGCTTTTCTTCTCTCATTACGATAAGCAATATTTTGGGCGTCATAATCGTCATCTTTCTTTTCATCATGTTGAAGTACCAAGGTCGTTCGAATAACTTTCTCTTTTGTAAATTTTTCTGTCTTTCTCCGGCTTCCCCATTTTTGGCCTTTCGAATAAGGCCCCCATAAAGTAACACAAGAAGGAGAAAGCAAAAAGAAACTAAAATATCAAGGGATTGCAGAAAAGTCATGGGCACACGCATTTCCTTTCTCATGTCGTTTTTCCCGCTTCTCGCCACAGAACCATCCACGTATTCACGTATCGACTTGAGCCGTCCATGGTCGGTACCGCTTGGTCAGAGGTCGTATGGTGTGATGAGAAGATGACAGTTTGTCGTAGCCAAGTCTCCTTTGCTACGATGACTGGCCGTCAGTATTTACTTCATTCGGTAGAAATGCTGGCTCATCAGTAAGGAGAGTAGCCTCTACCACGGCCGCCACGGTAGCCTCCACGGTAACTGTAAAACACGTTAGCATTTGTTCGGTGTAGGCAAAGATGAGGTTGACTTACCCGCCACCACGAGGGGCGAATGGAGGTGCACCGCCAAAGCCTCCGCGACCGCCGCCGAAGCCAGGAGGGCCACCAAAGCCCATTGGACCTCCGCGACCACGTCCACGGCCACGGCCTCCGGCTGCAGCGGCAGCTCCTCTGGCCAAACCAGGAAGGTTGGTGCGCTTGGGTACAACCTAGACAGAATAAGCAATCCGGGTGAACAAAGGCTCAAGGACATTAATTACCTTCAGGTTGCGGCCTCTGAAGACACTCTCGTTGAGCACAATGGCATTGGCGACCAGACTTGGCTCCTGGAACTCGACGTATGCGTAGCCCTTGGGGTGACCGGTGAATTTGTCGAGCAGGATAGTGACACGGTTGATGGGGCCACAGCTGCCGAAGTGAGCCTGGATCTCCTCGGGCGATGCGCCGTAATCGACGTTGCCGACAAAGACGGAGCGCGAATCAATGTCTTCTTTGCTTTCGCGCAGACCGTCCTGCTGCTGGTCCAAGCTGGCCTGCATCTCGCGCAGCTTTTGTGCCTCGGCTTCCATCTCTTGCACGCGCTTCTTCATTGCTGCGATCTCTTCCTCGTCATTGGTCTCGTCGTCGTTGACGGGCTGCTCCTCCTCGGGTCGCGGCGGCACTTCATTGTTGGTGTCCGACATGATTGGGGTGGGAGGGTAGAAGGGAGCTGCATATGGGTTCAGCATGGTCAGGCAAGGGTAGACAGTAGTCGACCTCAAGAAGAGCAACCTACATTGATGGTAGTTCGGGGAAGAAGAAGGCGGATGGTTGGAGGTGAAAATGAAGGTCGCTGGTCGTCACACAGATATATCCAGACAGGCGACTCGGTCACAGGTCGCAAGGCAGTGAGATGTTGTTTGTGATGGATGAGAAGGGCAATCAAGGGTCGAGTCAAACCGAATGACATGCGAAAGCTCCGGCAAGCCACTGTCAGTCGCGACTGCCACGCCAAGCATCCTGGAGAAACCTTAATTCGTCCTGGTAGGTACAACCCTTCTGCCTTCCACCATCGTCGCTTCTTGTTTCTCTCAAACTGAACCGAGTTTCAACTACGACTTGTTCATCCTGAGTATCTAGAGTTTGTCTCGGCTCATCGATCCAAAGATAGCCTCATATGGAGAGTCAAGACTCGCTGTACTGAATCACGTAGTAAGCTCCTGTGTCTCTGACCGTTACCTATCTTGCTACACTGTCTCAACTTGGCAACTTGTCATGCAGAGGTACTGAGTGCTTCTAGCTCACAAACATCATGGAAGAGTCACAGAGACCCCTGTTGCACGAATCGTCTCCTGAACACACGAATTCAACATCTGATACTGCTCGTCAAAACACTCGTCGCTACCTAAACTCCAGATTCGGTCATTATGCAGTTCTGCTTCTGGTATCTCTCGACTGCACCTGTATCTTTTCCGAATTCGTCATTCAGATCCTCAGCTGTGAAGGCAGAATCTCCGAGCCGCGAGCTCATGTTGCTCAAGAAACAATAGGCATCATTGGCTTGATATTCTCCTGCTTGTTCATGCTAGAACTGGTGGCTAGTATTTGGGCCTTTGGGTTACAGTATGAAGAACCCAATGCCGTATTGACCCTTGAGTACTGACTATACCAGNNCTTTTTCCGATCCAAATTCCATTGTTTCGATGCGACGGTCATTGTAGCCAGCTTCATCTTAGACGTTCTTCTGCGTGGCATTCTCGAAGAGATCGCCTCTCTGGTTATCATCCTACGTCTCTGGCGTGTCTTCAAGATCATGGAAGAGTTGAGCGTTGGCGCTCAAGAGCAAACTGAAGCACTACGTGAACAAATCGAGCGCCTCGAACAAGAGAAGTCGCAGATGGAGGTCGAGCTGACCAGGCTGAAGTCAAGGGTCCCAGGGCCATGCGTTTGAAGTATGCGAATGACTACAACAAAACCCTATCGAAGAGGTTCTGGCTCTGCTCAATGCACATAGCAGCTACCGACGCTCCACAACTCCTCGCTAAGTCGACTGTCTCATCTCGTTATGCTCCTTAATCCGATTATCCCTTCTTTTTGAACTTCCATACCATGTTTCACATACCCATGCGCACATCGCGGCTATAAGATCGCTCTCCCGGCCACATGTTTCCTAACATCGCTGGCTCCACACGGCCATACTCATCGTCCTGGTTTGGTATCGGAACAATGTCGCGTATTATCCTCATCGGATTGCCGGCGACAACTTTGCCGGGTTGAATGTTCTACCAATGTCAATACTCGTTCGCAAAGCTTGCAAGAACTGTTTGGAGACTCACAGTGCTGACCACGGTTCCGGGCTCAATCACACACTCTCGCCCAATGATCACATTGGGCAATATTACGACGTCGCCGCCGATGAAACAGTCTTCTTCCACCATGATCTTGCCTCCTCTTAACTTGCCCTCGCCACCATTGCGCACTCTGGCATCAAGTCTCATGTCGGGTCCGAGTCCGTAGAATCTTACATTTGGGCCAACAATCGTCCCTCTTCCGATGGTGATAGGACACGGATCATACATGACACAACCAGCCTGTATTACCACATTGTCTGCGATATGAACATTGTAGCCATACTCGCATTTGAATGGCGCTTCGATCAAGATCTTGGAGCCAATGGTGCCGATAGGATGATTGCGCGTGTCCGCTAGCTGCAATAGACGATCTGGCTGGAGTATCTGGCGAAACAATTTCATGCGCCCATCCATGTCGATATCAAACGAGGCCTCCGATGCTTTGTTGTAACGTTCGATTGCTTGCTTGCACCATGCTCTGTCGTTCAAGAGCTCTGGGTCTGTAAAATGACGATAATCTCTGCCGTTGAGCATGTTCTCTTTCTCGCTGGGGCTGGCAGCATGGTAGGGGCCCAGAGGTGGCTTCATGGCAATGCGATTTGATACCATTGCTCTGGGTGTGTCGAAGGCACTGCCCAAGCTGGTACTTGCACCTCCACTGCTGTGACTGAGACTGCCACCGTTGGCATCACTCATGATGCTGGGCGCCGACATGGCGAATCGGGAGGATGAAGGTATTGGGCGAGCTTTCTCTAGGTGCGAAGGTTGGGCATATCGATCAGATGGGAAGGGCGGTTCATGTTCTGGCGGAGCGGCAGGTCTAGGTGCGTAACGCAGACTGTCCCCGAAAGGTTGTGCGCGGCTATCATATGACAAGCGCCTTTGTGATTCAAGCCAGTTCTCGGCGGCAGCACCAGGCGNCCCTGCTTGGTATGTGAGCTATGTAAACGAGTCTGACGGCCACGAAACTCACGATTGTCGATGGCTAGGGAACGCGTGTGACTCAACGGTCTTCGCTTGCAGCGGGACTGCTTTGGACGGAAGCTTGACGTTGAGCTCATGTTTGGGACCATAACCTTCACAGGTAAAGCCTCCACGTGTACAGTTCTGACAGTGTGGTTTGGCTTCGTCGCACTTCTNTTTGCGCCGTCGACAGGTNNGCTAAGGTGAGGCGTCAGTGTGGAATTGTAGTCTTGTAGGGCTATTCACCTACTGGCAACCTGTCTTGGTCCTCTGCGAGAAGCGTCGTCGCGCAGCAGGTCCCTTCCTGCCACTCATGGAGTCGGGCTGCATTTCTGATTCTTGGTCACTTTGCATGTCAGTTTCCATTTGAGGGCTGCCACTACCATCATTACGATCGTTGCGGGTTTGGATCATGTGTGAGTCTCGTCGCAGAGCATCCTCTAGATTCAATTCCGTCTGGCCTGGACTCGGTCGTGGTTGGCGCCAGCCTGACGGTTGGTCTCTGTTTGATCATGTCAGCAGAGCCTCGGACGTTCGCATCAGACGCCTTACGGNTCCATGCTGTTGTTCGCCGTCTCGAAATTGCAAAAGGGGCGGTAGACTTCGTGAGGGCGACCTTGGTTCAGTCGGCGGCTTGAAGGCTTCGTCGTCTCGTGTAGGTGGAGAGTTAAACTCGGGTAGGGGTTTGAAGGCTTCAGTAGACCTCTTGCGCTTGCCCATACGGTTGGAATGATGCTCAGGGGAGCGGAAAGAGGAGTCATCGTGATAAATGCCTCTAGTCTCGTCCGAGTCCACAAACAGTGGTTTTGGTCTCCCTTCTGGTAGGGGTGGCTGTCGAGGCAGACCGTGTTGTTGTTGTCGATAGGGATGGGATAGGGCCGATGGATCGGGTCGAAAGGAGGTGTTTTGTGGAGGGCTCGCGGGACCCCTGTTGCCGTTGACTGTCGTGAATCTGACTGCATTCGAGCCTTCTTCGACCTCTCTACTCATCCGAGAGTCGTCGGCCTCGGAGGATTGATTGACAGTAGCCATACACGTTCAAGTCCAGTCTGGCAAAGTCTTGCGCAGATGAGATATCTCGCCGAGTCCAAGGACTTTCGTACTAGTGAAACGAGCACAAGACAAGTCGCGTTCGCTTTAGCAACGGACCCGTTAGTCCATGCGACTATCCAGTCTGTCGGGTGGGGTATGGGCTCAGAGGGTTGTAGGCAAGTCTGACAGTGAAACAGATCAGAGAGGCTTCTCGCGCGCGCAAGAATGGAAACAAAAACAAAGAAACGAGGGTACTGTGTTGGCGAGCGTATGCAGCGTCTGTCAGAGCCGGCGGCTTGCGGCTAAGAAATGTCCAGAAAGTGACACGGCGCATGCACTCGAGAGACCAAGCAGGCAGGCAGAACGAAACAGACAAACACGCGGTTGAAGACGAGGAAAGCAGCATAGCACAACGCAACGAATGCAACCAGAGCCAAAGCGACAGCATTGGCCAGATCGGACAGGAAACAGCACCAGAGCAATGAGTTACCGCTTCTTTTCGTGGAGCTGCGGGCTTGCCGCGCCTGCCAAAATCCGCGCAGGGATCGTTTAGCGTTTTGATAGGCCGCCTCGAGCGCCCACTTTCATTCATCCACTCAACTTCATGCCTTGTTCACGCCTATTACTGCGGACAGTCAAGCGTACACCACTGTGTACTGGACCATTGGCAGCGCCCGAAAAGTTCCCGATATAATTGGCTGCCGGCTCCTGCTGCATGCTAGATTGTCGTTCGTTATGTTCGAGGCAACGGCTTGGATGGTTGTCATGCAATGCGAGAGTACCGAGCTTGACAAGCGCGCACTACTGCGCACCGGGACCCGCTTGAGACCCCACACGTTACATCCATCAGAGCGCTGGGTGACAGCTGGGAGTAGTAGGCTTGTACTGAAGCAACCGCAGAAACCATATTCGTTCGGTCCTATCGAGGGCGCTTCGTCCAGATGTATGAAGCCGAATTCGTATGCGCGTCCCCCTCCCATGCGACAGGGAGCGGCGGCCGCGACTGGCGCGAGGCTGTACAGAAGTGACTTTTAGACATGTTACTTATGGAGTGTAGTTCTATTTTGAATTTGATATCTTAGACCAATCTCCAAGTCCCGGGCAATGGTTCGTCATGCGGGCCCTAGGGCGGACCGTTGCGAGTGTACCAGACTTTTACAAAATAATGGCACGGGGAGCTTTTCTTTTGCAAACATATTAAAGGCTGGAGTAGCCATATATCGAATGCGCTTCTCGACATCACTTTTGCTACAATTCTGTCCACGCGCACACCGTTGACAAGGTACCGCGACCAGACAAACCCTTACGTCCGAAAGTCGGATATTATGATCTACTTGTGTCGTAAAAGTTGGCAGAAGGGGGTTGAGTTGCAGCTTGATCGCTTGATCGCTTCTGGTCACTGAAGCATGGGTACTTATTCTTGGACGACCCAACGCAACGGGTTTTCAATCAACAAAAACGATCACACGCTCGAAAAGTCTGCGACGCTGGCCTCGTGATGAATAGGATTGAGAAACCACTGTAAAATGCATGAAATCCACGGCAAGAAAGGGCGATGAGGTGCCATCGTTATTAACAGTCGAAGAAGGACGTTCGCCCAAAATTCCCGATGATAAGCGAAGGAGCCATTTAGGCCTTGTACAAGACAAAAGTACGCGCGCGTGTAGTAGTTCATCGCGTAGGATAGGTACGGCGTCTAGGTAGCGAGGCTCTACAGCCAAGATACAGCGTCGCTCCAGGTATTCGCGTCAGCAGCCGCACAATAGTACGGTAGGTACTAAAAACTTCAGCCGAACATATCTGTGTCTTAGCATATACCCTGAAAGAGTATAGTCGACCAAATGTGGTGCACGTCGTGTTATGTTGGATATGTGTACACGACAGACCGGAACGAGGGTCACCCTGTCCGTGGAGACGAAGACTTCTGACGCTCGGGAAATGCCTTGGGTCGAGTCGGCCATCCGAAAAGGCAGGCACGGTCCCAGGAAAGAAGCAGCGACCAGCATCAGAACATCCCAAGGAACGATTACAACGACATAGACAATGCCGCCCATCACATTCGCCACGCCGCTGGCGCTATCACAGCCGACATTGCTGCCGCGCACATTCACACGCTCCATCAAGACGCTCAACCCAAAAATCAAGCCCAGTCGCTTCAATGCCGGTTTCGACCTGCCCGTACTAGGCTCTTCAAAGACGGCCTCCCTCGAGCGCAAGTCCTACACCCTACCGCCGCGTACCGGAGCCCTCGCCATCAAGAAGGGCATGACCGCTCTATACGACCCCGAGACTGCAAAGCGCACCCCTTGCACAGTCCTCCAACTCGATCGCGTGCAGGTCGTTTCCCACAAGACTCGCCAAAAGCACGGCTACTGGGCCGTTCAAATTGGCGCCGGCATCAAGGAGCCCAGGAACGTGACGCGGCCTGAGAGAGGGCACTTTGCCGCCAACAAGGTCGGTCTCAGCCGCCACCTCCACGAGTTCCGCGTCAAGGACGAGGCGGGCTTGCCTGATGTTGGCTCTGTCATTGGCGCGGATTGGTTCCAGGAGGGACAGTTCATCGATGCAAAGGCGAATTGCAGGGGTATGGGTTTCGCTGGTGGTATGAAGAGATGGGGTTTCCACGGTCAGCCCGCCAGTCACGGTAACTCCTTGACTCACAGAGTCATGGGTAGTTCTGGTGCTTCGCAGGGTAGCGGTAGCAGAGTCTTGCCCGGCAAGAAGATGCCCGGAAACATGGGTGGTCAGCAAGTCACTGTTCAGAACCTGCGCGTTCTCAAGGTCGACGCCGCTAACGGAATCGTTGTCGTCAATGGTGAGTTCCGATTCTGTCTCGGATCTGTCTCCTTACTAACAAGAACACANGGATGCGTTGCAGGACCTAAGGGTGCTCTTGTCAAGATTCAAGATGCTCTGAAGAAGCCGTGGCCTGAGGTTTCTACTCCTCCAGCTGCAGATGCGGCCGCCGAGCCCATCAAGGCAACCACCTAAATGACTTTTGCAAGATACCATATTCATCAGCACGGCTTCTGGGCAGGCGAGGCGCAATGTAAATTATGTAACTCTATAAAAGAATCCAAGAGCTGGCATTCCGTACTTTTTCGCACACACTCATCACCATGCTGAGCCCCAGTCATCTTCCTCTTCTTCCTTGGCTGCAGGCTTTACTGGCTTACTAGGTGCCGGCTTTGCTACAGGCTTCGCCTTGGATGTGACTGATGCAGACGAACTCCTGACTACGCTCGGCTTTGGTGCTACGGCAGATACTGGTTTGCTCTTCGCAAGACCTTTGGGGAGAGGGTTCTTTGCTTTCGTCTTGGCCTGTGCCTGCGCGTTTAGCCAGCCCTCGAAGTCGGGCTCACCACCATCGTCAAAGTTTGCAGTCGAAGGTTTTGTGGATGCCATGGGCGGTGCGCTGTTTGATAACTCACCCCATGCATCGGCGGCACCGTCGTCATCATTCATCGCACCCCAGTCATCACCAAAGTCTTCCTGGTCCACATCAGACATGGTCGGGGTTGCGTTTCGTAGGCCCGAAGACACTCTAGGCACCGTCGGCGCAGAAGGAGAGAAAGTTGGTGTAGGTCGAGTCTGACCAAGAGGAAGAGACTGAGCAGCTGACGAACTCAGGTTTGCTGGGGGAGTAGAAGATGGTCGATCCGAGCTGGCTGCTGTTGCTGCACTGCTGTTAGGTTGAATTTCTCCACTGGCTGTTGCAAGCTTGTTCGTGAAAGACGATATAGCCCAACCAGCCCACCCTGCTCCCGCACCCCCCGGTTGCGGGGTGCTCATGCGTGGCGCGTTCGAGCCAGCAGCTTCCGGTGGCGGCAGTACACTATCAGGCAGAGTCTGGCCATACTTGCGAATGCGCTGAAGGTACAGATCCAAAGTCTTGTTGGCTTGGTCTCGGATGATTCTATCTGGAGTCAGCACGTGCGCAGTACTCTGGGTTGTTTTCACTTACTTCTCCTTGTCTACAAGTGACGGACAGATTGCCGGAAGCAACTTGGTCGCACAATCGTCTTCAGAGAACAGGTCAGCTGTTGCTGATAGAGCTAAAAGTGCTGCGTTCCGTGCATGGACAAATGGGTCTCTAAGAGATCTTGAGAATGCAGCAACCAGGACCTTGGTTCGTGNACTGCGAGATAGTTAGATGATTGAAGAAGTAGTAGAAGAAAGGGAAACACATACGCTGGAGCCAAGATTCTTTGCAATCTTTCCAAGACAGATAGTTGTGTTTGTTCGGATGCCTGGCTGTTCATCGTTTGCGGTCTTAGCCAGGTACCTCAGTAGTTCGCCATTGATAATGCGGTCCGACAGCTTTGGAACCACGACCAAGACTGCCTTGACAGTCTGTTCTCTGACAAGCGGAGCGAGGTCGGTGAAACCAGTAACNNCTATAAGTGAATTAGCAGAACGATCGACCAAGTATGAAAGTTGAGTCCGTACCATCTGAGGGTAGATGCTGTTGTTTACAATCTTTTNGGGAAGATGATCAATCATGTGTGGTAGATTGTCAAGAAGGCACACACGCAATGCGCGGTCTGGACTACTGAAGAGTCTGACAACCACCGGTGTAATGGTCGACTCGTACTCTTCATCTGAAAGTTTCTTGCCAATACGCATGACAAGGGACAAGACCTTGGGACCTCCACCACCAAATTCGAGAGACTTGAGAAGCTCAGGAAGCACCTTGACTCGGAAGAAATCTTCTGGAAAATCGTCTGCTTCGGCTACAGCCTCGAGCTCNNGCTGTATGACGTTAGATGTGATTGTAGTGGTGCACAGGATAACCTACCGGAGGAAGTCTTCACGCTCAGTTTCAGTCTTTAACCCCAGATTATCAATGCCATCGGTCAATTGAATGAGTGGGGTGTCGAAGAATGAGCCAGATTTTCGCCCTTGTTCCAAGAAATGGGCGATACTGAGTCTGGTCTTGGGGTTTGCATGGGCCAGACGTTTGTATGAAGCGTGCATGCTAACAGGAATGCCCTTGGTCTGACCAACCTGATCACTTCCCGAGAAGGTCCCATTGAAGACTTCAATCACAAGGATAGCGAAATCGTAAGAATCGACGGCAGACACAGGGTTTCGTTTGATGCTGTCCCAGCCGCCTTTGGCGACCTCGGGTGGAGCATAGCGCCCGGAATCAGGGGTGAGGCTTCCATATGTNNCTGCGTACTACGGTTAGTAAGTCATGTCTTATAGCACGTCGGCACTACGAACATAGATGACGGCCTCATCTTCCTTCATGGAGCTCAAGACGTCCAGGCCGCCCAGCTTCCATTCTCCACTATCGGTAGTGAATATTGAGGAGGTGCGGATGCAACCGTGTACCGAAGTGGCTTCCTCGTTGATGAAGGCAAGGGTTTNTCTGGAGAAAGCTGTCAGCAGATGACAAGGTCTCCAGTATGAGTTGGTGCTCACAGCAACATTGTGGAGCCCCCATTTGATGCTCTCCTCAGAAACGGCCTTTCTCTTTGTCTTCCAGCCGAGCGGAGTTATATGTTCAGTTGCGATGTAGATGTAGGTGTCTGNTCTACCTTGGTGTCCGGTAAGCGCAAGTCAGTCGAAAGAGGAGTTGATGGTAACTACCTCAACAGCATCCAAGACCTTGATGACACCAGGGTGTCGAAGAGTGCGGAACTTGCGCAATGCGTTCTTTGCGAGCGGAAGACGGGATTTGTTGGCCGTCACGTCGAAGGAGAGGATGCTGCATCGGGAGCCGTCTTCCTGCACTGCTGTCAGAGATCGAAGGGGTCGAAGGGTGCGTCATGTTGCTGTTACCCTCTTGGTGCCGTTGTGGAGAGTCCAGATAGACTGATCGATGTCGACTCTTTCGCCAAACGAGTAGGGAAAGGCGGGACCTTTTGAGATGGCCGATGCGACGGCAGACTTGAGGAAGTCCATGTCTGCTCGACCGTGCCTGGAAGAAGAGTCGAGCGCGTGTTTGTTCCTGGTGGTGCCTGCCGGCCGCTGCTGCCACCGTCGCTTCCCTGATGAAGCTTATCGATAAGCTCGGCCGACTTTCCTTCTTCGGTCCCATACAAACACTTCCTCGTCCATCTCACCGCCGACCACTGCTACTGATTTCTCGCCCATGCGCAATGTGATGAGGGGCTGGATCTCGTTCGCTACCCGCATGGGCGTCGAACAATCCGATACGACGCTCTCTATACAAGAGGTAGGTTCATCTCATCTTCTTCTCATCTTGATCCCTCGACCACACACTCTGAACACCAATGAATGATGATCACCATGGTAAAAGGGCATATCGCCTGGTGTCATGTCTACTCCGTTTGGAACCATGTCTTTTTGTTGCGATCAAACATGTCTGGACCTCTCCGCCATTCAGCTCTCCGAAGACTCAAGCCAACACAACACTTGCTTCATAGCCTGGGGTTGATAGTGACGAGTACATCAACACTTTGTCGGCTTTGGAGTTGTTACGCTGTTTTCCTAGCCTACAACCAATGGCGCTGGCATACAAGCCATCATCTACTTCGAGCAGCTTGGCGCGGGAACTTGCATTGTTTTGCATCCTCAAAATTCTATGCGCCATCAGTGCAGCTTGACACCTCACAAGGGCGACATGATGTTTCACAAAAATTAAAAGATCTGACACAGATAGCCTCTGACCTTCTTCACTTTACTCTCGATTTCGTCTTCACTCTCATCTGACTGACCCATACCAGCGAGTGAAACAGGTCACTCCCCAGCAAGTCATGCAAACCGCTTCAGCGTCCGTCGCTTCTGCCGACATGCGACCCCCTCCTTCTAAATCCTCAGAGGTCAGGAGGATCAGAGCTTCTCCAAATCGTGGTCAAACTCCTTCTGAACGATCGTCAACGAGTTCACGAAGCCAGACAGACGTATGTTTCATTTGTACCACCAAGTCTTGCCTCGAGTCCTGGACGCTTGTCACTTGTTGCCAGTGCAAGCGAAAGTATCACAGAGGTTGTCACAAAGGCATCATCCCTAGACCTTGCCCGCTCCATTGGATGTGCTATCTCTGCAAATCCGACTCGACCGAAAGCATGCAACCACCGGCGAAAAAACGAAAATTCGACAGCCCCGCAGCCACTGCTCGTGCCGTTGACGGGGCCACAGATCGTACAGACGTGGTCTACAAAGAGATTCCCGAATCACCACAGGACAGCCCTGGCGCAGCCCGCCATGGCTCTTCACCCAAGTTCATACTCAACCAACGTCCACGATTTGAACTTCTCTCCGAGCAAGATGACGAGCGGTTATCTGAGGATCTGTTTGGGCAGACTCGGGTTACACAACGTCCTCGCCTTGCGTCCTCTGTTCTAGACATTGAAGAGCAAAAGGTTCCCCTGTCCGCAAAATCAACACCTAGGGTTGATTCACGGAGAAAGAGACCCCGATCACCTGTTTCAGATGCTCAGTTCGAAGCAGCACCACACAAAGCAAAAAAGCAAGACCGTTGGGGAAGGCGGAGAAACGACCAACTCATCGGTATGGCCTTACATCAAGCCCCTGATCATTGCTTGGGCATCGAGGAGATATACGAATGGATTATTGGCAACTACCCTGACCACGACCTCGAAGATCTACGCTGGAGAGACGGAATCTGGGTTACTCTAACGGTGTCCAGAGATTTCATGCGCCGAGATGGCAACTCAAAAGGACCATGGACATTCCGTGATGGCGCGAGCACAAAATACAGATCAAGAGACCACTCTGTACCTCACGTGTTACCATCTGCTGCCCCTACCAAAAATCATGGTTGGGTCAAGCAAGGGGGAGACATCGAGACCCTTGCATCAAACCACAATCTCCTGGACGACGACTTCGAACTCCTAAAGACATCAATCGACAGAACCAGCACCAAAAGATTCTCTAGGACAGCGAGTGAGACCAACTCTGTGTTACCCTCTACAATCGACGAAACAATAGACATCATCGACCTCACCATGGACGGAGATGAGCCACTACGCCCAATGACAGATTTGAGGAGTCCCCGAAAGCCACCTACCGCACCAACTATCATCAGCCTTCTAGACGAGACCCATGGAGAAAACCCCGAGAAGAACCAGCGATCAGGTCTTGTTGTGTTCGGAGAGCCGGTTTGGCAGAAAACGACAAGTCCCATCCCCATGAGACAGTCCCTCACACCTTTCACAGATCGCATCCTCGGGAATGCCTCAAAAGAGACGATCGAAAGGTTCTCTGGTACAGAGAAATGGAAGGCCGCTAACAAATACATCCACAATCTTCTTGGATCTCCTCCCAAAGCAACAAGGTCGGCTGATGCGGAAACCACAGAATCTATAAATCCTTCCGGGTCGACCTCACTGGACTCTCAGCCCCTAGCGTTGGTTGTTGCTCCCAGTAGACAGGACTCTGATCATGCTCCAAGTCTCAAAGAAAAATTACTCGAGCCAGTCTCGCTCAGCGCCAACGTTATGCGAGTTGCCGAGTTACCACAGCTAGCTCCAAGTGACACAGAGATCAGCGAACAACCAGACTCTACAGAAATCATCGAGCAGCTAGATGCTACAAATGCTATGGACAAGCCAGATTCTACCGAGATTTCTGAACAGCCAACCACCAGTGATCAACGTTCGAAGGAGCTAGGCCCAGTGCTGAGCGACCATGTTATGCCAATGAACCTGGATCCCCCACGAGAACCTGTTGAGCCCAAAGCTGCTGATTCCGAGTCTGCCCAGGCATCGAACGAGACAACTAACCACATCGAACCAAGACCAAGACCATGTCCTGAGGAGATTTCGCTTCAAGAGCAGCTACTTCGAAAGCTAGCTTCGAGAGAGCGACTGCCTCACAAAGCCTTGCTGAATGGACTTACTCCACAACATCCGCTGCCCGAACAAGCTCCGACAGAAGAACGATATGCAGAAGAACAGCGCGAGAACATCTACGCGGACTCGGCTGTTCAGACCGATACACCGGCAGCGTCTGTGTTTGCGATAGGAACCATAGCGCAGATCGGCCTGGAGCCCCAAGCACCAATACAAGTCTCCCATACGACTGTGTGTCAAACTGTAGACTCTACCACCCAGACCGAAAACCCGCCTGCCCCACAAGCGGCTCCTGACGCACGAAAACGGCTGCCACGAGTACAATCAACGAAAGCTCCTAAGAAGACAATCGACCCATCACTACCAAAGGCCAATAAACGCCCTGTGACTCGGGCTCAGTTCGAGAAGTGTGCTCTAGGACTACTCGATACATACATGTACAAAGAAGGAACGAGTTTGGTCTGGCCTGCCCACCTCAAAGGCCCACCACAAGAGGACCCTGACTCTCTCTCCTTTGACCACGAAGCCAAAATGGAAGAGATACGCGCCAGGCCAACACGCAAACAGATTTTCGGTAAAGTCGCTCTGTCCCGTGTTGCTGGCAATGATGCCTTGACCAAATTGAACAAAATCAAGTTGGGCAAGCAAAGGATTGGCGAGGTTGATATTTACAAAGGGTACACGGATGAACAAATCGAGGAACAGAAGAAGTTGAATGCGCAAGAGGGATACTATGATACCATGGAGGAGCTGTTAAATCTGCCTCAGCAGGTTGTGCCTCATGTTTATGAGCAGCAGCTGGCGTTTCGTGATTATGCTCCGGTGAGTCGATGCGAAAAAAGCTTAGATTTGGATCATGAGAGTACTAACATTTTTGCGTGAACANNGAATAAATCCGGCAGGATTGGCAGAGCGAAGCAGATTTTCAAGACCGGGCCGAATGCGAGATGATGTGGTTTGTTTTAACCAGACGAATGGCTCATAGCTTCTTTACGATGAGAAAGGCGAAGCTATCATACAAGAATGGAATTGTTATAATATCATTATGAGTATTTTCAATCTCATAGCTCAAGCATATCTTCAAAAACCGAAGCCATCTCATCGTCGAGATCATAAGCGACGATTTGGTCGTAGTCGTCATGCTGTCCATTGTGTAGACAATCGAGCATGTCATCATCAGATGGACTTTCATCCGGTTCCAGATCTGTGAACAAATCCTCCCATTCACTCTCGTACTCAGTATCGAGTAAGCCCTCTTCGTCGTCTTCATCATCCAACTCCAAGCAATCCTCAGACTGTTCGAATATGTATTGTTCGCTTTCATGCTCGAAATTCAGTATGTTGTCAATGTCTTCATCCTGCTCAGATGTCGACAATGTTGCATCACTGATTAGAATCGACTTTAGTTTTTTACCAGCAGATGGATCACGAAGACGACGTTGCATGAGACGCCAAAGTCTGACACTAACTGCTTTCTGTATAGTCGATGGTTCGGTATGTTGGCCGTTCGACGTTACAGGATATTCTTGTCGAGCAATCTCTTTGAGCTTTTCTTTTAGGGCAAATGAGCGTGCTCGTTGTGAGATGGAGTTGGAGAGGGCGTGGCTGATGGTGGGCAGGAAGACTGCTCGTGATGCAAGAGNCCTGTAATGCTCATGGTCAGTGTGAGCTCAGCTGGTTATGGTTTGGTTCAAGAATACCTCGAGGTGACCGGAGCTCCACATGGCGGGACAAAATTCATCAAGGTGCTTGAAAGATGATCTCTCCGTGATCTTTAGACACGAGAGTGCCTTTGGAGGTAGGTTTGTCAGGGCAAGCCGGAGGGCTGCATCAATCAAGCTAAGGGCATTGTTTATGATGGTTGTTCCAGCTGTTGAGGATGGATCAAAACTGGCTTGATCTTCGAGGAGTGTTGAAAGCTCGAATAGCATAGCATCGTTCTCTGGTACAGAAGACGGAGAGGGCGATGTAATGTCAAACGTCAAGTGCACCTGGTCAAGAGTCCAGTGCGGCAGGTCCTCTGGAGGTTTGAGGTGGCTGAAGGGAACATCCTTACCCAGACGATGGGTGGGTGCTTTCTTGTTCACGACTTGCGCAGGTGCGGTAGTCAATGATATGGCCAGAAGGAGACATGTACTCGAAACTTGTGAAGGCTCGACGGTAAGCGAAGGTTGAAGGTTCAATTGATTCCATAGCTAGCAGTATGTCAGTGAGGGGGATGCCTCTCTACTCTTTTTGGACGTAGAGATATCGAGACTGACTGCTGCATGCCGAAGAGCAGTGAGAAGACATTGTTTTAAAGTGATCAATTGTTGGTCGGATCTGGATAACGACCAGGTTACGGTAATAAGTAATCGAACACTGGTAGCAGGAGCAAGCCAAACGCGTCCGGATTCGATATTTGTGACCGATGGTATATCACAAGACTGGGCTAGAGTTGAGATGGAGACATTGCTCGTGAGGGTGAGGTCGAGGCCAGTTGAGGGACAAGACAAGCGCAGATTGCCCAGATCGATGTGAGCGGACATTGTGAGTCATTATGTTCTCCTGAAAGGACATTGCTAGACAGTGTACGGCATGATCAAAGAGTCGCCGGTGGTAGAAGTCGGGTCAAGTTGGGAGAGGTTGTGATGTCAGCGGGGGAAATCGGAGCGTGCGCAGGGAAGGTACAAGCTACCCTCGGCGAGGCTTCGCTCCTACCTTGTACATATGACCAACATGGTCCTGCCAGTGTTGGAGAGCTGTATCGCGGCTTCCTCGACTGCTCCACCACAATGGCAAAACGACTGAGCTCAAACTGGCTTCGTCGCCTACAACAGCAAACCAGGCGACCTTTCTCAACCACGATACGCCCACAGACCGATGGAGTCTTTCGCGCCTTGACAGAGAACAGAATTCAGACTCCCTGGATCGATGCGCTACGAGAGAAGGAGCGCGGTGGTCACGACCCCTCGAAGCCTTCCGGGAAGCCAGAGACACCCAATGACCGCGACCTCTCGCCGAAACGCATGAGCGACAGCTACCACAGCGTCGTCCTGCCTCTCGCTCGCGAGCCATGGCTACTCGATACCTACGCCAACTCCAGCGGCCACATCCGTCTGGGTACGCTGTTCATGGATCTTGATGCATTGAGTATGTCCCTCATGGAAGCACTTCCTCCGACTCTCGACTGACACGCTCCCGGGNNTGGTGTCATCGCATACAAGCACACAGGTGAAGGAGTCACAACAGTCACAGCCGCCTGCGATCGCATCGACATCAAGCACCCTTTGACAGAAATCTCCGACCTCGAGTACAGCGGACGCGTCACCTACGCCACTGGTCGCTCCAGTATGGAAATCTCGTTGCAAGTCGCAAAAGCACCAAGGAAGGGGGAGTCCGTCAAGCCCGAGGACGTCTTGTTGACGTGCCAGTTCACCATGGTATCGCTAGACCCCGGTACTAAGACACCTGTAAACATTCCTGCCATTGCTCCAGAGACGGAAGAAGAGAAAGCCATCTTTGCGCAGGGCGAGAAGAACAGCGCCCATCGCAAAAATCTCAAGAAGCGCTCGTTGATCAAGCAGACACCCAACGACGAAGAGTCTGATCTCATCCACGCAATGTGGCAGAAGCAACTACAATACCACGATCCCATGGATCCCGTGCGCAAGCCCGACAATGTCTTCGAGATGGAGCAGACTCGTCTGTCCACTGCTGCTATCATGCAACCACAATACCGAAACAGGCACCACTTTATGATTTTCGGTGGCTTTCTCCTGAAGCAAACCTTCGAACTGGCCTTTTGCGCAGCCGCCAGTTTTGCACATTGCCGTCCCACCTTCGTATCGCTCGATCCTTCGACCTTCCAAAACCCCGTCCCTGTCGGCAGCGTCCTCTATCAGACCGCCACTGTCGTCTACACGGATCCTCCAATCGTCTCAGGCCAAGCCGACAAATCCGATTCAGATGGAGGCAAGGAGCAAAAGTACACAAGGATTCAAGTCAGAGTCGACACAAAGGTCCGTGACGTCGAGCACGGCACTGCCAAACCGACCGGCCAATTCAACTACACATTCACTGTCGAGCGTGACATCAAAGTCATGCCGAAGTCATATTCCGAGTTCATGATGTACATCGACGCACGCAGAAGAGCAATGAGGATAAGAGATAGCGTTGAGCACGACAATATCGACTCTGGCGCGAAGGACCGGGTGACGGAATGATCTCTAAGAAGAGAAACGTTGAAATACAATAATAAAAGCAATGCAAATCTGCGCCATAATGTGCGGTCTACACATACTCCTTCCCAGAATGCCCCAGCCTGGTATACCCAAAATGCGCTCGATCCAAATCCAGTGACGCCGTAAGAATGCAAATCCGGCCTCTTTCTATTCCTCTAACTCAAACTCGAGGTTGTGGTCTTCAGAGCAGTCAGGGCAGTAATAGTTGCCAAAGCCCTTGCAGACTGCAACGTGATGCTTGCACATGTNCTAGATGGATGTCAGTGTTTTGTTGCATATCTTCCAGTCGGTGTGTATTTTACCTATTGACCAAGCATCGTAGGAGTAACTGGACAAGAATCGATTCGTGCAAATCTCAATGGTGTCGGACCAGATGTAGTAGCTAACTTGGTCAGTCGTGTTCATTCTGTTTCTCTTTCCCGCGGTCAAATCACAGTACCTGTGGTTGCAAATGTACCACGAATAAGTGTATGTACACATGTTTGTTTATTGTGTAGCGTGAATGTGAAGAAAATCGTTTCTTGATCAGAAAGATGGTTTGGTATGGTGAAAGTGAAAGAAACGGAAAGAACTGATCAAAAAGTCAGAGATGGCATTCGCGAGCAAAAGTTCTACCACTCACTTTGAGCCCCAGCAGATGATTGAACGAAACAAAGGGGTTTAAAACACACAAAGAAGATTGTCAAATACACAAGAAGGATAAAGAAAGAAGGGCAGATATACAGAACCCAACGCAACTAGATAAGAAAACTCCCATGCCAATAACCCTCTTGTAACTGTGCTCTTGCCCTTCTACTCGGCAATCTGACTCACTTGCTGCTCATCAAGGTTATCTCCCACGAAAACAGATACGGGGAATCTATCCCTCTGTCCCTGTTTCCGGGTCTGCCGAAAGTTTACCGTTGCGTTTATTGTAGTTGGACATGTGCCTGTTTACCGCTTTCCTGGAAACAAAGGAGGTAGGTCACTCTTTGGACCCCTTGGGACATTTTTCTTCCGAGGTGGTCGAGACTTTCTTGTCTTTGTTTTCTTTTTGTTATTGGGGGACTCGAGCACTCTGTAAAACATAAGATAAGGATACTTTTTGTATCTCTATGGTCTTTCTCATATTACAACCATCACAGTATAACACAAGAGGAAATTCTCAGTCGTTTGGTTCAGTTTGTACAGCAAAAAACATCCCCGTCCGGTTTCCTCTGCGATTTATCAAGGTTGTTTTTCGGCGTTAACGCTTTTATCTATCCAATCTTTCTGATCGTGTACATTGTCTTCGGCAATCTTCGGGAGTGAAGGAAAAGATAAGGCGTGCCGAGTTCGGAAGCGTTGAGAACATGTCTATCTTGCAACGGCATGTATGGCCCTTTGCTTCTTTGTTTGCTCTAGGTATTGGTTAGGGGGTCTAGACTTTTCATGTATGCTTCTTTGCGTCCTCGACGCGGCTTTTGGAAAGTAAGGAACGTTGGGAATATCGAGGTGGTTTTCTCTGCGTGCACCCAGGCATTCACGCTCGCTGGATGTTCATGACATTTGTTGAGAATCTGCTGTGGTAGCAGGATACAATGGTGCAACGAGTCACCTTGCACATACTGTGATGGTAGTGTGTGTTGTACATCGATATGAGAGAGAAGCCAAACGAAATCAGCCCCGCCTGAACGACAAGCGCACAACTCCCTGCAAACTCCAGATACCTCTTTTGACTAAAAGAATATCCCAGTGTAAGCCTATAGAACTATCTTCTCCCTGGACCAAATGGCTTGCCATCAACACCTCTTATGTTGCGTAGTGTAGCCTTGTGCTCTCTGCTTCGCTCAATCACCCATTTCCCGCTTTACTCTTGTCTCTCGGACACTATCTGGTCTCCGAGTAATCGTTAAGTGCCACGCAGACCGCTCCACGATGATGTCCGTTGTATTGTCTGATGACTTGCTTGGAGCTCAACTCCCACAAACGCGCATAGTGATCGCTGCAAGCTGTCACCAAGTAGGCACTGTCGGCACTGAAAGCGCAGTCCCAGACCCAGCGCTGATGACCATCAAGTTCCTGCTCGAGCTCAAATGCACCGTTGTCCTTTTCTCCAGGTCCAGCGGCGATGGCGTTGTGATTTGACAGATCGACTGACCAGATACGGGCTGTATGATCCGCAGAGCAAGTGGCCAGATGGCGAACGTCGGGAGAAAGCAAGACGCGTGTGATATATGTGTTGTGGGCGTTAAATTTTGTGACGGGCACCAGCGTCGTCACATCCTTGGCTGTGATGATGCGCCAAACGTAGACAGAACCGATCTGACTATTACTGACGGCAGCGCAGAGTAGGGAGCCATCAGATGCGACAGTCACCGAAGCAACAGACTTGTCTTCTTCCGGGATCAACTGATGTGAGCATTTGTTCTCGGCAAGGTCCCAGATTCGCACGTTGCCACCCCTGTCGCAACTGATGAGCTCGCCCTGGTTCGGATGGATGACTACATCGTTGACAGGAACACCGTGACTGTAGTTGCGCTGGACGTGACCGGTGCGCGTGTCCCAGATCTTCACTGTGCCGTCTTCCGAACTTGTTACCATCCATTTGCCCTCACAGTGGAAAGCAAGTCCTGTGATGTTGTTGGTGTGGCCCTCAAAGGTCAGGACAGCGGCAGGATTTGTAGACTTGATATCATAGAGCTTCACGGTATGATGTCCGGCAGCAGCAAGAAAGCGCTTGTCGGGAGATATGCACAAGCGGTTGACCTGTGAATCTGGATGGGGAATTGTTCGGCTGCATATGCCTGAGAGCGCTTCCCAGAACCTGGTGACAATATTGTGTCAGTCCTAGCACATTTGTGGCGTATTTGAGACAAATCATGCTCTTTTCGAGCTTGACAGGAGCATCCCTCCCAGTGCGCCATGTGACAAATAAATGCAAGGTCTTGTGGGGCGTATGCACACACTTACCTGATGGTATGGTCATAGCCAGCTATACGTGATTAGCTATATGTAATCTAGAGCCAAGCCATGAACAGGCATACCTGTACACAGAATCACACTCATGCTGGTGGCTTGATTGATTCGCGATGTGGGAAATGTGGTGGGGTCTTTCGCGATGAACGCGCAGCGTGCGCGTGGTTGATGGAAGCTTTGCTCACCAGTAGTGTAGGTGATCTAGACTACTATATTATTCGGGTATCGCTTTGCTGTCTGAACAATGTTTTGAAGATATTGTGATGGTTGCCGGCGTGATATGCAGATGGATGTTCTAGAAGGCAGAGGCAGAAGGTGTGGACGGACGAAGCCTCCACGTCGTCGGCTGTGGGTCGTGGCTTCCCGAAGGGCAGGGTTGGCTTGTTTCACATGGTCAAATCTCGTCTCTCGTTTTAGCCATGCCCCCTGAACATCATTGAACCTTGTCATAATTTTGCGTTGTTTGCACGCTATACATCTATCTAAGCAAGCAAAGAGAGCCTAGAGAAGACTTTGACTACAGGTGGCTCTCGCTTGGTTTGATTTGCCTCCATGGCATCAAAGAAGACCGCTTGACCACCGGCCGTAGGCCTGCCAGCCTCATCCTCCCCATTCATCTCTCCAGACTCGGGGTTTAATAGCTGTGCCGCCATGACCTGGAAAACTTCGGGTATGCAAGTCTTGCACAGGTCGACGACTTCCGCCATGGCATTTTCCACTGCAATAGCGCGCTCTCTCATCGCTCTCCTCATTAGACCTTCGACCAGGCGGGAAACCTCCTCACTAACGCTGTTTGTACGTTCAATGAGACGACCTATCGAGTTGACGATATACTCTTCCTCGTAAACACTGCCCTTCTTGCCTCTGGCTCGCTTGCGCTCTTCACGACGACGATTCTTCGACGTCTTGCGTGTGGCGTTTGAGGCAAGGGTACCAGTACTGCGGTTTGTGTAGCGGGTCATGAAGGTACCGGCCGAAGTAGTAGCTTCAGTTGGTGCAAGCGAGATGTTGTCAGGAATATCCGGTCCGTCTGCAGGAACGCCTCCGAAGAAAGCAAGTGGATCTTCCTCCTTCTTCTGTCGCAGCTCTCGAAGTCGCGGTACTTGAGCATTGAGCTGACCCTTCATCTCTGCGAGAAGCTCCGTCATGGTTCCGGACCCCTCTGCAAGACCAGGATCGATAACAGATGCGATCAGCTCGGCGCGTCGTCTCAGGCCAACGACACGTATAGCTTCGGCGTAGTAGTAACCCTTGCACAAACATTTGATGGCTCCTTCAATGTCATTAAGATAATCGAGATAAACGGTTGCTGCATCGTAATGTTCTTTTGACTCTGTAAGTGCCTCGGCAAATGCTTCACCTGCAGCCACGAGCTCGTCCTCGGGCAGAGGTATAAGGGTAGCCGACGAAAGACACTCGCGCCATTCGTTCGCAGATCGGTAAGCCTCGAATGCCAAGCTGTACTCGCCTAGATATTCGTAAGCGATACCTGCCTCCTTGTAACGATTGCGGTTGTTGAGGTAGTCGGCATTGAGCTTCATGATCTCGTTCAATCGCTGAGCTTGGTATTTGTAAAGATGCATGGCATCACTGTAGAGCTCGTGCTTAGCCATGTAGGTCTTGAGCTCGTCAAACCCATCCATGGTGAATAGATGACCAAGGGCCTTGTTGTGTTTCTTCAAGTCATGGTCGATCGTGAACTGTCTTCGAAGTGGCTGCATTTTGCCAAGGCCTTGGACATACGGAAGGTACTCTCGAGGGTCCTTCTGTGACTGCTGAGCAATAAGCAACGCAACGTCAAGATCATACAGACCCAGAGCATGATCATAGAGCTGGTTCACGTCGGCAAGGAAACTAATGTGCTCGACAGCGCGCTCTACCAGATCCGGCTGCTCCCCTCGCAACTTGGCGATCAAGGACAAACCAGCGTCAAGATCAGGCGGGGACTTGCAAACATGCGCTGTGATGATGTTCTGTAGATGGGTAGACGTTCGGTTGCGCAAGACGTCCAAGAAAGCGTCACAGACTCTGTTAATCTTCGAGTTTTGGGGTTCAGCGGCCGTCTGCTGAGTTTCGGTCGGACTGTCACCATGCAGACCTAGTTTCGGAGCATTGAGTGTTTCCTTGTACATAGTCTCTGCAACATCATCATCCCTNNAGATATTTGTAAGTCTAACTCTTCAAGCGTCCAGAAATCCAACTTACCGTAGTTGTGAGAGGAACAAATCAATGTGTTCGGCCTTCTTCAATTGCTTGCAGAATAATAGAACGTTGGCCATGAACTGTTGGGGTGCATAGTCGTGGAGAATATTCATGTCGACTCTTTGGCCACGGCAAGCAAAGAAAGCTGTCTTGTAGTCCTTAGCACTGATACTTCTGCGGATACCAGCGAGAACCAAAGCGCGTGGGTAGACTGTTTCCAGGTTGCCTCTTGGCATTTGAAGGACAAGGGAGAAAGCCGTAGGCATAACGCCCACCAATCTTGCACCTCTTTCGATGCTACGACACCGTTCGTCCTTCTCGGGCTCGTCCTGGGGTATCTCCAGATCGCCTTGGTGCAGATGGACAAATTTGAGTAGGTGTTGAGTCGTAGTGAAGATGAGATGAGCAGGAGTGGTCAGGAACGAGGTGCAGTTGCGAATTTGTAGACACTCTTGTGCTTTCTCATCATCTGGAGACTTGCGGTAGCCAAACAAGGTACCGCCAGCCGAGAGACCAAACACAATTGTCGTCTCGTCATCCCTCCAAACCTCGGTCCAAGGGCAGTGTACTGGGAACTTGGCAAGTAAGGAAGAAGAGGCTGCAGTACCGACCTGGTACACACCACCATGCGCATCCTCGAAGCAGGTACTCGAGAAGTCTACAGCGGAGAACAGAGAACCTACACCTGAGCTCATTTCACGCGAGTCGAAAGCACTGTCGTCAGAAACCTTGAGCTCGACAATGCTATCGGTTTGAGTGTTTGGCTCGCTACAGAGCACTGAAATATCATCCTCTCCAGAGAATGCGACTTGTCTTGGGATCTGCTCTGCCAATGATGCTTCACGCAAGAGCTTGGGGTGTTGGAACGGTCTGACGCTGTAGTCGAGCTCATACAGGAAGACACCTTGTTGATGCAGTACTGCAATCTTGGTTGCCGATTGGTTAACAGCAACATCGATGGCATTCGCACCAAGCTCTAGCTCCGCGAAGGCCATTGGCGGTGGTACATTGGCTACTCTGAGTGGTGTGATCTTCAGGTTACGACCGTCGATGACAGAGGTAAGACCAAGGTCGTATGGCGGTGTTGACGAGCTCTTTGATACGGTAAACACGTAAGAGAGCATCTGTAGAGAGTNCTGAAACCACGTTAGCAGGCGGCTTTTTAGCTTGAGTAAGATCTTGCAAGACATACGACCGGATGATGCAGAAAGATAGAGTGGCTTCTCCGGATGCCAAGCTGTGCGGACTGAAAGAGATTCTGCCTCTGATGTGCTATTGGTGAAGATCTCCTGCTTCAGATAGTAGTGGTAGTTGCCCATGGTCCAGAGTTGTACTCTGTCTTTGAACGAAACAGCGAGAACAGTGGAGTCGCTGTTCCACGCAAGAGTGATGGAGCTAGCCCAGCTCTCCATATCTTCTGCAGATAGGCGCAAAGAGAATTCACCATGACGCAAGCCGTTTCGCTCGAAGAAGACGACATCCACGCGGTCAGATCGACGCTGTACACCAGCCATAAGGTTTCCAGCAGGTCGCCAGCTCAAAGCGCCCTCCAGTCCATCTACGGGCTCGCCAACACTGTCAAGTACACCTTCTCGTGAATAGACTCTGATCATTCGTCGCTTTCCGTCCTGTACAGAGTTGACAGCCAGATAAGCACCATCTCCACGCCAGCTGATGGTAGTCTGCATTTGATCCAGAGAGCTCAATTGACCCTCGTCAACATGTTCTGGCACAGTAGGATCTTTGAGAGCTTTGGCTCTCTTTCCTTGGAATTGAGTCTCGCGCTTTCCCCATCCGACAGAGACATGGGCAGATATTTGAACATCCTCGGGAGTAAGAGTGACGTTGGCAATACTCTCAAAATCACGGGTCATAAGAATCAAGGTGTTGGCGCGAGTGCTAATGGCCAGCAGTTCCTCATCGGGCGACCATGCAGCTGCAGCAATACCTTCGTCGACCGAGCCAACAATTTCGATGAGATCCTCTCCAGGTAGTGGCTCCTCTCTGACAATGACAATATCGCCACCAGCCAGAATTAAGCAAATAGTAGCAGTGTCGGCAAAGTACTGTAACGACAGAATTCGGTCCACGTCAATATCTGGCAAAGGGCTAGGAGCATCCCATGAAGCAATTTGTTTTGCATCATGAGCAGAGTAGCAATCCTTGGCCAGGCGTCTGAGTTCGATGACCGGGCTAGAAGACGAAGGACCAAAGGCGGCAATATGACCATCGGTGGCAGGATCCCAGGTCGTAGCTGTTGGTGGCAGGGAGTCGGTGGGGAACTCGACGAGGGTATGCCTCGAATTCCGTAGGTTTCGCATGATTTGATGTGTTATGTTACAAGCATTGATTGAACAATTGATGGTCAGCAGCTTCAAAAAATTCTGGGAGCCGGGGCTAGCGCGGCTTTTCTCGCCGAGAGCTGGTGGAGGGTCAAGCTCAAAGGTCACGACAAGCAATTCGGGACAGGCACAAAAGATGGATTCAAATGCAAAAACAAAGTCATAGACGTGTTCGGGATTCAGAGTCACTATTATATACATCCGACGGGACGGGCCAGCGTCTTGAGAGGTGCTTTGAAGCCAGGCCAATGTATGTAGTCCATCCACCACGATACGTCTATTGGTTCTTCTTGGTCTGCCAGACTGTTGGGATGTGAGTACTCGGACGATGAGAGAGTTTATTGAGGCGAGTGATTTACCAGCGACACCGAAGGGAAGGAAGAAACCGGCGGNCTGCAATGGATGTTAGCATGGGATTGGGGCTCTGGTGTCTGCGAGCAGTAGCTCACCCATGAAGCCCCAGAATCTGAGGGCGAAGAACTTGGTCAAGGGGTTGAAGGGCAAGTTGCTGCGAGGGCCCTCGGGGTAGTGGTAGGGACTGGCGAGTTGCATGCGGGTCGAGGAGAAGGCACGACGGGCGACAATCTGGTTGGCCACGGTGGGCATGCGCATGGCGGATCTGGACAGCATCTGGACGGCGCCTGTCAATTGGAAGATTCCAGAGCGACTGGGCGGTAGAACGTACGGTGCAGGTGTGTGTGGTTGAGTGGAGATGCTGGAGAGGTCACTGGCTCGCCGTGTCGCTGCTCACCCGACAGCGACGCTCATGCCCGGCGAAAGTGCGGAAGGCGCGTCATGCAGCCAATCACGGTGCGTGCAGCTCTTGCCGCCATAGCCCATCTATCGCAGTCCAAAGCTCGACTTTTTTCATTCACTCAAGTCGCAACAGCAACCCATCGCTACCGTCGCCTTTGTTCGTGAGCCCATCATGGACGACTTGTTCGACGTCTTCGACGACGCCCCACCCACCAAAAATACAGATGTCGCAAAGGACAAGCCAACCAAGAAGCGCTCGGCCAACGGCCATGTCAAGACCCCCGAACCCGCCGCCGCACAGGACAATGCTGCGCCCATCACCGATGCGAACGACGAAGACCAAGGCGTACCAGTGCCTGCCGAACCCGAGACCCCCGACGCTGCCTCCGATGCCAAACGCCTAAAGCGCGACGAACCCGCCCCAGTTGTGACCGACTCGTTCGAAACCGAACAGTCCAGAGAAGTCGCTGCCGCCGCCGGTCTCCAAGCTTCAAAGGAGGAGGCAAACGTTGTCCTTTCGCATCAAGTCCGCCATCAAGTCGCCCTTCCACCGGACTACGATTACATCCCCATCTCGCAACACAAGCCTCCGCCGAACGGTCCCGCCAAAACATATCCTTTCACCCTCGACCCTTTCCAGCAAGTCTCGATCGCCAGTATTGAGAGAAACGAGAGCGTTTTGGTCTCGGCTCACACCAGTGCCGGAAAGACTGTTGTTGCCGAGTATGCAGTTGCTCAGTGTCTGCGCGAGAACCAGAGGGTGATCTACACCAGTCCCATCAAGGCCCTGAGTAATCAGAAGTTCAGAGAATTCCAGGCTGAGTTTGGCGATGTCGGTCTCATGACTGGAGATGTTACCATTAACCCTACAGCCACTTGTCTCGTCATGACCACTGAGATTCTGCGATCCATGCTGTACAGAGGTTCAGAAATTATGCGAGAAGTCGCCTGGGTCATCTTCGACGAGGTCCACTACCTCCGCGACAAATCCCGTGGTGTCGTCTGGGAGGAGACCATCATCCTCTTGCCGGACAAGGTCCACTATGTCTTCCTTTCCGCTACCATCCCCAACTCGATGCAATTCGCCGAATGGATCACCAAGACTCACAACCAACCCTGTCACGTCGTCTACACCGATTTCCGACCTACACCTCTTCAACACTACCTTTTCCCCGCTGGTGCAGAGGGTATTCACCTTGTTGTTGACGAAAAGGGCACTTTTCGCGAGGAGAACTTCCAGAAGGCTATGGCAACCATTGCCGACAAGGCTGGAGACGACGGTTCCGATCCCATGGCGAAACGCAGAGGCAAGGGCAAGGACAAGAAGGTGAACAAGGGCGGCAGGAAGGAAGGNCCCTCGGACATCTACAAGATTGTCAAAATGATCATGATGAAGAACTACAACCCCGTTATTGTCTTCAGTTTCAGCAAGCGCGACTGCGAGAACTATGCTCTTCAGATGAGTCAGCTGGCCTTTAACGACGACAACGAAAAGGCAATGGTCAAGAAGGTCTTCGAGAGCGCTATCGAAATGCTCAGCCCCGAGGATCGTGAGCTGCCCCAGATCCAGCACTTGTTGCCTCTTCTGCGCAGAGGTATCGGTATCCATCATTCTGGCCTTCTCCCTATTCTGAAGGAGACTATCGAGATTCTCTTCCAAGAAGGTCTGATCAAGGTTTTGTTCGCTACTGAGACATTCTCCATTGGTTTGAACATGCCTGCCAAGACTGTCGTCTTTACTAGCGTACGCAAGTTCGACGGTGTCGCTGAGCGCTGGGTCACGCCATCCGAGTTTATTCAAATGTCTGGACGTGCTGGAAGAAGAGGTCTCGATGAACGTGGTATCGTTATCATGATGATTGATGAGAAGATGGAACCTGCAGTCGCAAAAGAAGTCGTTCGTGGTGAGCAGGACAAGCTCAACTCGGCTTTCTACCTCGGTTACAACATGATTCTCAACTTGATGCGTGTCGAGGGTATCTCACCCGAGTTCATGCTTGAAAGATGTTTCTACCAGTTCCAGAACACGGCCAGTGTCGCTGGATTGGAGAAGCAATTGCTCGAGCTGGAGCAGGAGAGAAACCACATGACCATTGAAGACGAGCCAACCATCAAGGACTACTACGACCTTCGCACACAGCTTAACAACTATGCAAAGGATATGCGCGATGTTGTGAATCATCCTCAACACTGCCTTCAGTTCCTGCAGTCTGGCAGACTGGTCAGAATCAAGCACAACGATCATGACTTTGGCTGGGGCGCTGTTGTTAACTTCGCCAAGTGCCGTCCTCCCAAGGGTCAGCCCGTACAGGACCCTCCTAACGCAAGTTCATATGTCGTGGATGTTTTGCTCCAGGTTGCTAGCGATGTTACTGTACCAGCTAACAAGAACAACGAAGAGCTTCCTCCCGGCGTCCGACCACCGGTAGCCGGTGAGAAGGGCAAGATGGAAGTTGTACCTGTCCTGCTTTCTACCGTTGATGCCATCGGCCATCTCAGAATCTTCTTGCCTACAGACCTGAGATCACCCGACCAGAGAAACAACGTCCGTAAGGGTCTGGAAGAGGTCAAGCGAAGGTTCCCTGACGGTATTGCTATCCTCGATCCCGTCGAGAACATGGGTATCACAGATGAAGGGTTCAAGAAGCTGCTTCGCGTAAGTGAAACAAGAGAGTCCGTCTTCTGTAATGATACTGACAAATATACANNGAAAATCGAGATTCTCGAGTCAAGACTGCTCTCGAATCCCCTTCACAACTCTCCTAGACTCGCAGCCCTGCACACCCAGTACGAGCACAAGGTTCAACTTGGCAACAAGATCAAGGAGGTCAGAAAGCAGATCAGCGATGCCATGTCTGTGTTGCAAATGGAGGAGCTCAAGCACAGACGAAGAGTTCTTCGCCGCTTGGGTTTCATTAGCGAAGCAGACGTGGTACAGCTCAAGGCTCGTGTCGCTTGTGAAATCAGCACCGGTGATGAACTGGTGCTCAGTGAGCTGCTGTTCAACCGCTTCTTCAACGAGCTCACCCCTGAACAGTGTGCGGCTGCGCTCAGTTGTTTCATCTTTGAGGAGAAGAGCAACGAGACACCGACATTGAAGGAGGAGCTCGCCAAACCATTCCGTGAAATTCAGGCCCAGGCACGTACCGTGGCTAAGATTTCGCAGGAGAGCAAGCTGGCTGTGAACGAAGACGAGTACGTTGATGGGTTCAAGTACCAGCTCATGGAGGTTGTCTACAAATGGTGCAATGGTGGAACCTTTGCCGAGATTTGGTAAGTTCGTTCGGCGGGTCTTTTGTTTATACATGCTAATCACTCTCACAGCAAAATGACCGACGTGTACGAAGGCAGTTTGATCCGTCTCTTCAGACGTCTTGAGGAGCTTCTGCGACAGATGGCACAAGCATCGAAGGTCATGGGCAGTGAGGAACTTGAACAGAAGTTCGAGACGGCGCTCACAAAGGTAAGACGTGACATTGTCGCAGCTCAATCGCTGTACTTGTAAAAAGGCGACATGATTGCATAAGGATATATATTATTCTTCTCTATGGCGTTTTGGGCATGATTTGGCGGTAAAAGCACAGGGCGGCGGGCGTTTTTGTTGTTGTCGGTTCAACGAGCGGAGGCATATGATTGCAGATGAAAATGCATACAGCGAGTGTGTCTTGCAACAAGAGATTGACAGGCGGTCAAGCATGTAGATAGGTAGAGCAAATGATGATGAAGACTATGTCACAAGCATGACATGTCGTTGGCTGTCAGGTGTCTCGAGTGTGCGGTGAGAATGGAGATCGCTGGGAGACACATGACCATCGGTCTTGGTCGTCGGGCTTTGTGATCCGAGCTCGTGGTCCAAGTCGATTCGAGAATCTTTCATCACCACGACCGACTTTGCTTTCACACATCTAACGCATTTGTGTGGTGCGCTATTTGTGTGAGCATCCAACTACCAACCCACCTCCTGCAAACGCCATGAACTCCGTCATCTCGTCGAACCCACTGTTCGCTCCTCACCTCCTTGGAACTCCCCGACCATCTCCCTCGCGCTCAGGTACGCCCCGACCTGCTGCGTCATACCGCCTNTCTCGCGACATACTAACACCACCACCAGAGGGCTTCGGCGCCGACAGAATGTCCAGCCGGAAGCGCAAGGCCAGCGAAGACGACCAGGATGACCGTATGTCGGCCTCGCCCACGGCATCGCCAGCAGTCACCGGTCGCCAGCTCTTCCCCGCCTCACGATCTACCAAGAGAAGCCGCACCGTCTTCGCCGCTGGTCGTCCGCTTGATCTGCCTCGTCTTCTCGAGACACTCTCCCCTGACGAAATGAGGAACCTCCTGCAAAACATCTGCGACCAGAACCCCGCAATTGCCCACGAGGTCGTCACCAAGGCTCCTCGTCCCAGTATCGAGTCGACTCTGTCTGTCCTACAAAAGTACGAGACTACCTTCAAGGAGTCTTTCCCCTTCGGCAACCGCCCCTCTTCCGACTACACCTACAACCGAGTCCGCCAACCCATGCTGCAGCTCATCGAAGCTCTCAAAGACTTTACTCCTCACTTCCTGCCTCCAAATGAACCTCAACCTACACTCTCGCTCCAGTATCTCGATGCCGTCACTCAGATCATCCATCGCCTCCCCACATGGGACACCTTCCAACACAACCATGCAAAATTTGAAGCATACGACGAACTCGCTCAGGCCTGGGCTCTGGCCATTCGTGAAAGTGCCAAGAGAGGCGGTGGTTTCCACTTGCAATATGCCGGTTGGGACCAGAAGCTTCTCAAGCACAACGAAGAGTCTGGCGGTAGACTGCAAGACGCTGTCAACGAACTGCGTGCCAACGTCACCTATCTGACCGGTGCTACTGCTGGCAGCACCACTCCCTCCAACTTTGACGAGCGTGCTGCTATCAGACAGCAAATCCTGTCCGGTACCTATGGTCCCGATGTCTCTGTCGGCGTCGGACGTTGGTGAGACGGCTGCGAGACTGGTTTAATGAGCTTCAAGATACCCTGTGGGACACAACTGCCCTTCATTTGTTTTTTCTTCTTCACTCGTTTTCATTTGTTTTCACACACATTGAGCTGCATTTCCCCATACCTTACTTGTCACTAGCAGCCATGATGATAGCATTGCGAGGCGTTCTTATTTGCGAAGTGGTTTTCGGCGAAAGGCAAGGCAAGGTTTAGATAGAACACTTCCAAGAGGACTGTGCATAACACAAGTGGTCCTAAAAACTCAATCAAAAATTACAATCACATCAACCACACTCAAGTCTTACAGTTGCCCATTCAAATCAATGTCTTGAATCTCCGTTTGTCCATCACCTCAGTGAAAGCTCGAGGTGTGCATATTTCCGGTCGACTGACCTTCGTCACTTCCTCATCAAGCCCAGCACGGCTTTTGGCGACTTGTTCGTGAGTGCGGCGCGTCATCCCAGCGTCCACTCTCCATCTTCCATCCAGCTTTCTTCGATCTCGGGTTGCAGCTCTTACATACACCAACGACATCATGGCCATCATCCCAGATGTTCCACACGTCGCTGTGGACATCGTGGTCGATGGACGCCCACTTCCTGAATACCTCGACGAAGACGATGACGATTCCATCTCCTCTGACAGCACTATCAAATATGTCGAATGTGTCTCTGGCTCAGAGTTCGGCATACGGGTCCAATACACTGGCATGACTCTCCAGGATCTTCAAGGAGGTAACGCCATTGATGTGAAGTACTATCTTGATGGACTACGTGTTGGTAGCGCTGTGCATCGATTTCCCTGGAGTCCTGGCCGTGTCTCTATACGCCAGGCAGCTCGCTACAGAGAAGGCGGAGTCTTGAAAGAACGAAACTTCATGTTTGCCGACCTTGTAACATGTATGTTGATTCTATGGTCCTTTATACACATTCTCGCTGACACTTTTCATAGCNNCGAGGATGCGGCCTGCAACGAACTAAGACCCGAACTCAAAGACTTAGGCACGATCACTGTCAAGCTTTTCTATGTCCTGGCTAGTAAAAGTCGCGAGAGNCCGTGGTCGTCATGACTCTTTAAGATCGATGCCGCGCACGAAGATATCCACGAAAAACATCTCAAAGGTCAAGCAATCTCGGTTCAGACCAAGTGAGCCACCCGCTCCCTTATCTATTGATGATGCGACTAAACTGTGCAGNNGCTGGGAGAAGCGAGGTCAATGGGCTATCATTCATCTTGTTCGGTCAAGCAGTTAGGCGATGCATTCGCAGTGTTCAACTTCCGATACCGTTCACGNCAGTAGGCTCATCCAGGAAAATACACGCATACAATGCTTACTTTATTAGGGGACCTGCAAATTCTTTGCCTCATTCCAAGAATCCCAAGTCCCATTCCACTCGAGAATCGACCAGAGGAGAGCCTCAACAGAGAGGAGCTACTTGAGCTCTTGCGCAGACANGAAGGTAGGTTAGACTCTGAGAAGGCTCCGTTCTATACTGACTCGCGATAGGCTAGCCAAGAAGAGCAGATCGCGACCAAGCAAGAGCTCAAGAGAGAGCGCATTGAAGACGATGAAGGCGACGACGAACTGATAGTAATCTCCTCACGTCCACACACCAGAAGGCTCAAGATATCGGCAAATGCCAATACAGGCATCGAGACCATCGATCTGACAGACGATTGAGAATCATCGGCTCCTCGACACAACTTATCATTACAACATGATACCCACATTATGGAGCTATGTGGCTTCAACGAATAACGAAGAATAACTTTTACACTTTTTTCATCGTACATGTGATTGTGACCAGATTGCAGTAGAGTAGTGAGCACGGCGTCCATCTTGAGTTAACAACCAGCCAGTACACCTGATATTGCCATCTCTAGCTTTAGATCTTGTCGCACGTGTAGTGCTTTGACCAGAGGCAACGCAAAGCAGGGCAAAGTAGAAGGCGAAGGACGCATTGCAACTTCCTTCCTTTCAGACCGGCTCCCGCACCCGCTTCACTCACCGAGCCAGATTCACACGCAGCTTCTCGTCTCCCGAGTGTGTCCTCTCAGGACTCTCTCTTTTTGGTCGTCACTTCTCGTCATCAATCTCACTTCCACATCGCTTTCTCGACATCAACATCACATCGACCGATCCACGTTCACTCGCCCACTTGCATTTCCTTCTCTTACCATCTCGAGTCTGCGCATCGCACTTCCATACTGCTACAATCCTTCTCTACAAAGCAGTCGCCATGGCGATCTTGAACGGCCTCCCTGGCATCGAGATCACTGTTGTTGTCGACGGCAAGGACCTTCACGAATACCAGGACTCGGACATGGACGATGAAGCAGACACAGTCACCAGATACGTCGAGGCTGTCGATGGCGCCAACTTCGCAATCAAGATCAAGGCCACCGGGGACAACAGATTCAAGGGTGACTATTTGTCCTTCATGGTTGAGGTGGACGGATCATGGATCGACGAACCCCTAATCAGTGCCGCTCATGTGCGAGAGGGTAGATCCACTCGCATAGTCGACGGTGTGTATGTGAGAAGTGGGTACTCCAGGACGCTCAAATTCAGTACACTCACAACTGGTAAGCCAGCATACGCAATTGATATATGATGAATGCTGACCATCCCAGTCCTCGAACATGACTCTAGGCTACTTCCAGACCTTGAGCGTGTCAAAAACCTGGGCAAGATCAAAGTCACCGTCACCCACCAAACCAGAATCGGACAGAGTACGAAACCTTACGGTCAGCCGTCTGATAATGGTAATGTCGTCTCTGAAAAGAGTATCAAGGGCCAGGCAATGAGTCATACTTACAGGTGTGTCTATCACCAGTATGTGAAGAACGTCTAACTGACCATCTCAAGCTTGGATCCTGAAGTTTCTGCTTCTCTGATGGATTTCTGGGAGACCAAGCCTGTTCCAGGCGTAAAGAATCCAGTAGGCAGCTATGTATTTCATTACAGGTCNGAATGGTGTGTTAATCTCGCTCAACCTTCTCACAACTGCTCACCTCCTCCAGCTGCACTGAAAGAGCTCCTGATCATCCCGAGAACACCTTCGCCTGTACCCCTTGAAGATCGCCCAGAAAAAGATCTTAGCCCTGAGGAAATGGCGGAATTACTTCGCCGATACAGAGTAGGACCATGGAATTACTCGACTAGATAGTACCTCCGACTGACGGTATCACAGGCCAAAGATGCCAACAGTGCCTCGGTCAAGAAGCAGGTCAAGAGAGAGTCAGAGGATGCCGAAGACAACGACTCTCATTCCCATAAAAGAGCTCGCTTATCCAATGGTCCGGTCCACCTCGAACTTAACGACGATGACACTTTCACCGAGGTCGCTGTGCCAGTCAAGAAGGAGAAGGAGAAAGAAACCATTGCACTGGACTGATTCAGCAGCATACACGAAACGATGCAGAGGCATACAACAAGGAAGAGCAAGCGAGACAGAGAAGTATCCAAGCGAACAGCGAGGGTTCAAGAGGGAAGATATCACACATTGGCGTCTGCAGAGCTGATCGTCCATGAGGACAATCAGCATGGTGTTGGCACAGAATGAAGTAATCACAAGAGCACACACAGAGACAGCAAACATTTCTATACATAGCTCAGCCCTACGACGATACAACGAATGACAACAAACATCACATTAATGATTCGTGATTGACGATCTACGCGTGCCTGTACATCGATTGAGTGACAAGGACATTGCTGTCGACAACAAGAAGATCAACCCCTTTTCTGGAACAGGGTGACATTCCCAACCACTAGACATGTTCATCATCGGAAGAACGAGCGACCAACCGTACCCGGAATCGACAACTCGTGAAGAAGTGGAGTCGGGCAACGAATGAAAAACGTGCAAGATGTCTCTTTGAACCTCAAACACTACCGACCTTACATCGAATACAGAAGTGTCAAAAACATAACCCACAACCACTACGGAACACAGATTTAATTCCTGAGATGTCTCTTCGAGTGGTCACGTTCGTCTGAATCGCAAGTGCAAGAGCGAAAAGATTAAGAGAATCATGGCCATAAAGAGTGGTGGATGCTGATCATCGGTGATTCAGTCCATCGAGTATACATTTGATAGGAAAAGGCAGATTGACTAGTTGCGACTGCCAACTCTGCTGGACAACCACAACTCCAAACGCCTAGAGAGAAACAGAATAACTTTCAAAACCATGGCATCATGATCAAGAGCCATCAAGAGCAAGAAAGGCAGGTGCAGACAACGTCACTCCGCGCTCATGCCTCAGAACTCCACGCCATAACAAACATTCAAACCCCTGTCAAAATCACCCTCAGAGCAGATAGACAGTGACACAACAATCACATCGACGCCACAATCTCCTGCTCCAACCAACTAATGGTATGATAAAACACCACCACACCAACCTCACGCCTCCACTGCTGCGCCTCCGCCCTCACACCCTCAAACCTCTTCGTCCAAAACTGCAAGTCCAGAAAATCGTCGCCGGAATCCAGGATCGCACGGAGGGTAGGCGCAAAACCCGTGGGGGCAGCCATCAACTGTGCTCTGCGGCCTCCAGAAGCAAAGTGCAGAGTACACAACTCCAAAGCCAAGGTGTCTGCGGCGGTGAATGCGCGGCGAAGGGATGTGTGTGCTTNTTTGCTGAGGTCGGGGAGACGGGATAGGAAGCGTGGGGAAAGGGATAGGTGGGCGTAGAGCTCGGGGTGGAGGGTGAGGTATATGGTGACGCGGTCGACGCATTCGTGTATGGCGTGCAGAGCCACGGCAGTAGTTGAGTGTGGCCAGAGTTTGGTGGAGTGGGCGCGTTTGATGGTGAGAAGAGAGGCGCGTAACGTGTCGGCGATGTGGATCAGAGGATTAGCGTGGCGAGCAGGATCGGGTTCGGCGATTGCTTTGCGGAGGGAGGTGATGGCCGAAGACACGACGGTTCGAGGGTCTGCGGGACTGCCGTCTGCGATTTTGGGGACGTTGATGCGAGAGTCGATGCGAGAGTCGATGCTCGAGTAAGTGGGTGGGAGTGCTGGGAACATGATTAGCAATCAAGGAAGGCACGACTGAAGGAGTTGGTAGGGTCACTTACCCTGATGATCGATGGTCCTTCTCAAAACCTCAATCTCTTCCTCGTTGACTTGACACAATTCACGAAGGTCTCCCAGCAGAGTTGCCTGCATCTGGTCACGGCTCTCCAGCTCAGCTTGATGCTCCCGCTTCGATTCCTTTTGAGCCGTGTTCAGCTCAGAAACTTTCATGTACTGTCTCTGCAGCTCGAAATTCTTCCTCTCTAACTCCTGGTCTTTCTTTCGAGTAACTCGCTGTATCTCCTGCGCAAATTCTTCCTTGATCTTGCTGACGCGCCTGTACAGGTCATTGAGCTCGAAGCTCTTCTGCTGTAGGAGACGCTCCTTGTCGCNGATTGTGGGCTGCATTGTTCTTTTCTTTCTTCTGTTGCTGCTGCTTGCCTGCTCNNGGTTGCGACGTGCTTTTGCTACTTCCCCCGTGTGGCAGACTTGTTTCCAGCTGGTGATGCAGTACCCCTTGGTTTCCAGATCTTGGGCCTCTTGCTCTTCCTGCGACATGCCTTGCTGTTTGTAGACGCCAACTTCTTGCTGCTCGGCCATCTCCTGATCGCCACAGACCCACAGCTCATCGCTGTCAGTCATTGGATAGCCGGCTTCCGTGTGAGTGGAAGAAGTTGCCGAGGAAATAGATGTCCAGCTGATGCTGTTTTTGTTTTTTTGCCTGAGGCAGGTGCTCGTGGTTGTGGGAGATGTGAATAATCCTGTGAACTTGAGTCTAGATGCGCGTGAGCTGTGAATGTGGACTTACTGCTGGGTGTTGGCCGGTTTTTATTCAACTCGACTCAAACGTAGTACAACACCCGTCAGAGTCTTCGAACAGCGCAGAATCACAGCGCAGTGATACAACACTCCCAAAAACTTGACTTAGAGCCATCTTGATCAAGCACATGCGCCGGCGAACAAGTGAGAGTCGCTCTATCATCAAATGAAATGGCTCCAGCATTGTTCCTCTCCATGCACAAGAGACAGTCAACCTCGCGATCGACACCTCTCCACACTAAGTCACCGTGTTATAATAAACTATAGAAATGTACAATGTCTTTCTGAACAGAGCTGTCACCCTGGAGGTGCCTGGATAAACATCCTCTCCGTGGATGTTGCTCTGTTTTGTTAAGGACTGTGCATTGTTATAGCGTATGATAGCACTACATGTCAGTGTGGAGAGAACGATTTTCACGTGCAAGCATGAGAAAGAGAATGAATCAGGATTTTGGAAATAGGATTTGTGGGCTGTTATACAAGGGGAATCTTTTTGATAGTCGGTCGTGAGAGAGGTAGCAAGCCTCTGCAGCAGGGAATAGTCGTACGTACAAGGCTAGTTCATCTCATGGGTGACCTGCGCATCCACTTCGTCTTGAACGTGGCCACCAGGGCGGCCTCTAGCCGGCTCGGCAGGACTTCTCAGCAAGTCGGAGCTATCCTCGCCGCTATCAGGGCTATCGGGTCTGCCGTCGCTGAGAGTTCTGCGGTTGCGTTGCATCCAGCTGCGAACGCTGCCGAGAAGACCCATAGTGTAACCGGCGGCAAAATCGCTGTTGCTGCCTCTCGATGCGCCCTGGCGCAAGTTATAGCCAAGGCGATCGGGAGTCGAAAGGCCGCGGGCCGGGCTATTGGGTCTGCTGGGCTGCCAGAATTGTCGGAGGTCCTTGCCGAGCTCTTGACCAGTTGCGGTCCAGTTTGTGCGGATCGAGTCGCGCAGCTCGGCAACATGGCGCTTGATGTCGAGCTCGTTCTTCTTAAGCCACGAAATGTTGAGCTCTTGGCGAGTGGTGCCACGTTTGAGCTGACGGGCGATGTATTGTTCGTAGTCTCTAACAATCCTGCACACAAACGTCAGTCAACGTGCCTTAAGACGTGTATTTGAGCTTGTCCTTACTTNTGTGATGATTCCAGTGGTGCTGACGCCCTCAGTACGCTGAGTAACCAGGAACATGCCCTTTTCCTTGACTGGCTTGTAGATGTCGTCGCCCTCGTCGGCGCCGTAGGGAATGTCGTCGTGAGCGACATAGTCGATCTCATGCTTCTCGAGGAACTCGACATCGACAATCCAGGGACAGTCTTCTATGACTTCGTCGACCCATTTGCAGTGTCTCACAGTCTCGGCGCGTTCCTTTCCGCTCAGCACTGTCAGACCCTTGCGGCGATGGGTCTCTTTGTCGCCGGTGACACCAACGAGAAGATGTACGTTGGGGAAGGCGGTTTTGGCTTGTTGGAGCTGGCGCATGTGTCTAGCAGCTGTTAGCGGGTTGTTTCGGAAGGATACAGGAACATGCTACATACCNNCCATGTGGAACAAATCGAAGACACCGTCGGCGTAGATGCGTACAGGGCGACCTTCAGGAGGAGGGTTGGTCTTGTAGCCGACGGGATCAACCAAGCCAGCCTTGGGAGGAGCTTCCATCTTCATGGTGCCAGCTTCACCATTGACACCAAGGTCCTGCTCTTCCTCTTCATCATCATCCTGGGTGTTGTTTTCCGAGCGAGATCGCTTGTTAGGCAGATCTTGGTCATTTTCCTGCGATCTGGACGTCTTGAGGCTCTGGGGTGTTTGTTGAGTGGTGTCCTCTCCGGACGCGTCCTTGATCGGAAGGTCGTTGTTCGTTTCGACGGCGGCATTGGAGCCAACGGTACCAGCCCGCTTGCGTTTGGGAGCCATTGTGTTGTAGAGATGGAGTGACAACTACTTGACTTGTCGGTGGAGATCGACAAGGAGCGCGCAAAGGAAACAGCGACAGGGTGAACAGCTCGAGGTACGGAAGTGACGACCAACTCCACAATCACCCGTAGCCGACGTCCGTGCGCCAACCCACGCACGGCCCAGCTGAGGCTTGCCGTCACTTCTCACTCATCTCACTTCTTGTTTCTCCGTTCCAGTGTCGCCAAATACAGTTGCAGTGTACCACGCAAATGCACAGCTGTTTCCCGAGGCAGGAAGAGAGCCAGAGTCGGTAAGATGCCGGCTCTCAGTGGACACTGCCCTGTTTCTTAATACCACTGTGCAATCCTATAGCTACACGCGCTACACGCATTGGCACTCGGAGGAAGTGACGTTGAGACTTTTTGCGAAATTACAGGTTTGGGAGCAGGCTGTATTGCCCAAGCCTCCTATTGCGCCTCACCCAGCAGACATTAAGACTTTTGATTGGCTCTTGCATTATCGAAATACTCCATCAAGTCGTTCTACACCCGCCTCTTTGTGCATTCAATATCTGAACTGTCCCCTGAGGCTTGGTTCTGGGAAGCGGGGGAAAGCTTGTATCGTCATATCCATGTCCTGAATCATCTGTTGTTCTTATCCAGTTTTCATGCCGAGTCTAGAACACCGCCCATCTTGGGCTCTGCGGGTGTTGACGTCTCACCGGTGCCCTGCTTGCCCTGTTCTTGCGATCCGTTCTTGCCGTCCTCTTGTCCCTTGCTGACCTGGCTGGCGAGGTCTTTCTCCTCGTCGTCACTCTGGTCAAACATGTCCGTGTCGTTCTCTCCAGAATCCGTCATGATTTCTGTGCCGTCACCAAGCAGAATGACGCGACCAGGGTGCCCACTAAGCATGCGCGAACGTTGCTCCATATCCATGTCGTACTCGTCCGGGCTGTCGTTGTCAAAGCGGTGGTGCACACCAGGTCCCTTGAACTCGGCNNTGTACATGGCAATTCGTATTAGACAAGGGCTCGTCACCAGAGAGGCTGCATTGATAGATGTGCATGGTACGCAGACAAGAGTTGTCAAGCTCCCTTTTGAGATGGGTATCCGCAGGCATATAGCGCTAATAAACAAGGAAACTCGGGAAACAGAGGGGCGCAAGAGTATGCTATAAATGGGCAAGGACTGAAAGGGGGAAAGGTGTTACGACTGACCGTACTCTGGGGGTGCGCAGGGTCCGTCACCGTTTGCGACTCTGTCCGCAATCATTTGGTACCACTCTTCCTTGGTCTTGCCGTTGAGCAGAGCAACAACCGACATGGTCATGTTGTCGCAGCCAACACCACCCGTCTCGCTGTTCGAGGCCAGGCAGTTGTCCATCATGTTTTCACAGATGGCAGACAGCTCCTGCTTTGCTGCAATTCCACGGCGGACGAATTCGATAACGGCTTGCGAAGACTGGCAGTCCCAGATACCTGTAGAACGCTAGTCAGAAACGGTGTATCCTGTAGTGTCTTGCGTCGATTTCTTACCGTCGCATGCAAGCACGACAAACTCGTCGTCGTCGGACAGGTCGTGAACGGTCACGTCGGGGTAAGCGGTGACGATTTGCTGCTCAGGGGGCAGGTCGGCGCTCTTCTTGAACTCGAAGTCACCAATGGCGCGGGAAAGGGCAAGGTTGCCGTTGACACGACCGAAGTCAACGAAGCCACCGGCGGCGCAGATTCTTGCCTTCTCACCNNTGCTCACAATTAGCACAGTCGGAGGTACAAGGCTAAGAAGTCAAGACGCACCCTCGTTCTGGGGCTTGTGGTCGAAGGAGAGAGGCTTCGCTCTGCCCTTGACACCGAGAACGGTTCTGGAATCACCAGCGTTACCNNCTGGCCAGTTAGCAAAGCACTTTCCAGAGAACGAGACATGCCAACGTACGACGTAGATCTTGTCGTGGGTTACAATGCCAACGGTGGCGGTACATCCAGAGACTTCCTCCTCGTATCTTGGGTCNNTATAGCACAGTCAGCAGGTGGACGGGCTGGCAAGCGCTTGCGCGCAGGCTGACGAACCGCTGAGGATGGCTCTGTCAATGGCGAGGAAACCGTCCTTGAGGGCTTGTTCAAAGTCCTTGTTCTTGAAGGCGTCCTGCTTTGCGATGATCTTGTGCAGATGTTCGCCGGTGTAAATGGCGACCTTGTCTCCACCGTGACCGTCATAGACACCGAAAAAGCTGATGCGGACATCAGATGCGGCAGGCTTCAAGTCTTCGCCTTCGAGAGGTTGCAGGTCGAGGATAGTGGCATGGGCATCCTCCATGCTGATGCGCCATCCCTGCATGCATGAGATTCCGTAGAAGATGCGATCATCTTGTCCGCTGCCCGAATGCTGCAAGTGGCATGGTATGTTAGCGGTCAAGACAGGCAAGCGCAGAGCGGCGGCGGAGAGGCTGTGGATGAGTGCTTTGTAGGCAGGCGAGACAAGGCAGGAGGTCTTGTGACGAGCGGGCGGCACGTACCTTTTCGACAACGGGCTCGGAAAGGGTTTGACCCATGATGGATCGCGGAGGTCGAGGTTGGACGGAGGCGGGCGATTAAAAGAGGTTGGCGGGTGCTGGAGCAGAGGGTGCTGTGAGTCCGAGGATGGCTTGGATGAGCAGCTGAGTGCGAGCGTGCGAGTAAGCGGGGCCGGCAGAAAACAGCAGTTACGTGGTCCTTGAAGAATAGGCGACCGTAAATGAGCAATACCGCGTGTCGTGAGTTTCAGATGATCGTGTCTTGACGCGTCTCGAGAGCGACAAGAAGAATTGCAAGAGGTTTGTGGTTGTAGAGGAGCAGGGGAACAGGCCAGTCGAACGTCGCTTTCCGCGTGAAGGGATTGCCGAGACGCCATCAAATGACGTGCCTCCCCTCCCACATTCACACCCCACCTGGCACTCGACAAACAAAGAAACACCTATATCAATCCTTCGGCACATCTACTGTCTTGGTCTCTGTCCCAGGCTGTAATATCTCTTGCAAACCCCAATAATACACTGTCTATTTGTTCACCACATCGCGCTGCTTTCGATTGAGGCCCAACCCGTTGCTATGAGCCCCCTTGCAAGAGACGCGAAACCTTAAGCCATTCTAGACACTCTCAGCTGCCTGCAAATCCGACATGTCACTTCCAGCCCTACTCTCACCGTGGAGCAGAGAGATGCCCAATAACAGACAATGCATATGAGTTGAAGCTCTTCAATGGTAGCCGTCTGCTCCTCGACATATCTTTACACTTACGCGTGACAAACTCTAGCACATGGGAACATTAGGTCAAGAAGAATCAGCACGCGTCTGGTCAGACAAGGACAGATTGAGTGTGCTGTATGGGTATTCATTATAAACTCGTAACGCCAGATGCTAACTCCAGAATGTTCATGCTCCGAGCTCACTTGGCCTTCGCTCTCTGCCCTCTCCTATACCAAAGTTGAACTTGCCCAGTTCGTCCGAACTCGGATAGAACACCATCGGTGAGCTCTGGCGTCTGGGACTACGCGAGGGAATATCAGGCGTCGGACTCAGATGCCTTTGTTGGTCTCGATAAGGGCCATTGTATCCATCCTCATCATAATCTTCGCTGCTTGCAAACGGATTTTGATAGTAAGGATGAGGGTAGTCTTGGGCTACCGAGCCTGCAAGAGCCGTGAGTGATGACTGGTGAGCGACATGAGGCGAGTCAAGGTTGCGGTATCCTTCTGAGCTGCCTCGAGGCGGCCAAAAGCCACTGCTGCGACGTCGTTGAGGTTCTTGCTCAATAGGACTGACAGGGCTGGCGGCCATTGCAGAAAATGATTCTGGCGAGAAGGGAGTAGGTGGTCGGTCCTCTCTTGCTCCAGCGTATCTATCTATGGGTGCTGTCTCTCGGATGGACCCACGATCAGATCGTTCAGCTGATAGCTCGGCGGGTTCGTTGTGCTGATCAGGCCTGGAACCATAGCCAAGATACATGTCATCATCGTCGTTGGTCCAGCTTCTGGTCGCATAGCCATTATGAGCAGCCATAGGGGGTTGAAGTAATGGTGGTGCACCCGAATTGCCGTACTTCTCGGCTTCTGCGTCGTTGCGCCAAGAGGAGACTTCGTCGTCTGAAGGATTTGATGGTCTTTGCTTGAAGAAGCTTCCTGTATTCTTGCGACGACGGTGCAAGAACCAGATGAGGAATGCACCGATAGCAACGGCAACTGATCCTAAGACCACACCAAGGACGATGCCCAATCGTTTATCCCATGGATCACGCGTCTGTGAAGTTTGACTCGATGATGTGGGAGCCGCGTTGGAGATTGTGCTTGATGCTGTGGATGTCAGGATTGGTCTCGCATTCTCAGTCGTGGACGCAATGGCTGAGGAAGAGCTTGGGGAGGCCGAGGTCGAGAGCGAGGTTTCGATCGACTCTGTTGATGGTATGGTGTAGGTTTTGGACCCGATAACCACCGTCGTCGGCCAGGTTAATGATGCTAAATCGGTAATAGTGGTCGAGGGGTATTGGCCTTGGATCAAAGAATTGGCTTGTGAGAGAAGTGACTGAATTCCGCCTTGGACTTGACTCGTCTCTGCTGTAACCACACTCTCGAGAGCATTGAGAAGACCCGCTGGCTGGTCATCGGCGGCTGCCATTCCCACCAAGAGGGCAACAGCTAAGTTTGTCTTGAGCCTCATTTCGGACAAAACGCAGAGAGAGGAAATTATAATGAGGAAGAGTTAGTGGTTGATATATCTGGATGATGGTGCTCAGTAAGACTGAGGTTGAGATGTTTCTGATATTGCAGAAGGAGAGAAGATGAATCGAAAAGCGCAAAAGAATAATTGTGGTTAATGATGAGTTGTCAAAAGCAAGAACCAGAGAAAAGCCATTGAGGTCTTCTAGAGTACTTCCGCATGGTTCGAACCTACAGCTCAGCACGTCAATTACTCCATAGACCGTAGACGGCCTGCAGGGTACTTTGTGAGCCGGCAAGGCCAGACCATGTCGTGAGCGACGATCCAATAGGCGAGCAGAGCAACCATACCAAGTTGTCCTGCCTCCCCATATCATGCCTCGAACCTAGCCACAAGAGAGGGGTAGATGTGGCGCTAAAGCACAGCCACTTCAAAGCGTCACGACGATCATCCTGATAAAGCCCTGAAAGAGAACTCGCAGCGGCTCGCTCGCGCAAGCCCACCTCAGAAAGCCGGTTCTTGAGAGTGTATGCAGTCACTGATCACCACGTTGATGCCATTGTGCATAGACGGGCTTTACCACAGTGTCACCGTCGCACTTTTTGCCTTCAATCACGCCGGGTTTGTTGGCTTCAGGAAAATCTCTCGCTTAGAATGAGTTGGAGTCGCTATTATGAGGTAGGTGGTGCAGTCCGCAGTCGTAAGTCGTCGCTCGTGCAAACAGTGGTTCGGTCTTCCAAGAGCTTTCAGGTCCCCTCTCTGTGTGCCAATCATAGCATTCCCTATTTATCGGACATCTTTGAGCCATCCTACTTACTATATGACCCCTGTCTTAACACGAGCTCAGCCTCGAGGTGGGTTTCTCCCAACATGTCAGAGTCTGCAACGCGTGAAGTCATGATGTTTACGATGTTTGGCAGTCATAACTGCCTTAATGTTTGTAGTGACCATTGTCTCTCACACACTTTTCAATAAGTACGCGTGTGCGGTATGCCGGGCTGCTCCTGCTGGTCGCTGATTGGGCCCAGTGGCTCATGCCCATGCCATGCTGGATAGTGTTCTGCTGTTTGAGGAGCAACACTGTTGTAATGCGACTGATAGAACTCGGTACTCTGCTGGAACTCTGGAGGGTAGGTCGGGGTGATGAGTGGTTGGAGATGTTGATGTGGACCAGGAGGGGCAATAATCGTTTCCGGAAGAGATCCAGCAGAGTCAGTGAAGTTCCAAACAGGCCGAGCAGGACCGTTAGTTGAGTCTTGCCTTTTCCACACACGCTGGTTAAGTGACGACAGAAGACTTTCAGAGTCACGCTGAAAGCGATCACGCCAACTCATGTATCCCCATCGCAGCCCAAATAGGCCAAGACAATCCGTCAAACGCTTTATGCAGGTGATGCTTCGCATGAGGTTCTTCTGAAAATCTCTGGGAGTGTGAGGTGCTGGAGGTGGTGGCGCTGAATCGACAGGGACAAGCGGTGGATCGGGAATGATGCCTGATAACAGTCGATCCTCGTTGCCTTGCAACACCTCGATGAATTGACGGCCCGTCATATACACCCGCATGGCATCATAGAAACTCAGAGGAGCTGTCTTGACACGCTCGTTCGCATGAGATGTCATCTTCTCCGCGTATTGAATGCAATACTCGAAAATGAGGCTTTGCGCAAAGGGCGCAACAAATGGCATTCGTGGCGATGCAGCGAGAATGTAGATGTATGAGTAGAGCATATTGAGTTCAAAGAAGGTGCGAACTTGTGGAGTCATGCTCGGAGACAGACCAGCGAACCAGTTCTTCATCGCTTCGCAAGAACGCCAGATTGTTGGATATGGATCTGACAAAGGTATCCGTCCTGACTGAAACAGCTCGGTGTACCAATCCGATTGTATCCGTCTTAGATTGAAAAGGTCGATTGCTGAACCGAAGCTTTTGAACAGAATGTGATTCGAGTCGTCTTTGGCATCTGGTGGAACCAATGTTTGTGCTGTGGAGAAGGGCAAAGCCACGTTGGCAGAATCGTCCGAGAACGAGAAGGCTCGTGATTGAATCAGACTCGTTGACCGGTCAAACCCGTAAACACACCAGAACACCCGTCTCCGTAGCTCCAGCTTCGCTCTAGAGATAGCAGCACTCCGTGGAGGATCTTGATGAAGTCCCAAATCAACCATGGCACGCGAGGCTGCACCTATCAGGCCCCAACTGTCGAAATGATGAGGATCGATCATAGAGTACTCGTGTAGTAATAGCATTGCCTGAACACTTGCGATCGATCCAGGACGAAGGACGTGTTCGGTATGAACCAAGGCAGCAGAAACATGTCCGATAGCAGCCATGTAGTTGCCGTCACCGCGTTGCTCCATTCGTCCAGAGTGTGCGATTGCAAGAACCAATCTGACGGAAAAGTGGTCGAAGGGTGATGCTATCGAGTTTCTAGAGCTCTCCGAGCCATATACAGCATCAATGGATGCATAGAAACTCGATTCCTCGAAGAAAGGATACATGACAAAGAAGTTTTCAAAATAGTGCCTGATGGTGATCATAGCCTCATTTCGGGGCGGTAGTGGAGTCACGAAGCCTGGGGGAAGNNGGGAGTCTTTGGTACACGCAGAGAGCACCATGCGAGCATAGGACATGTTTGATGTGAAGCCGTAGAAATCCCGTGCTGTTGCGTTTACAGTTCTGCAATGACTAGTCAGTATGGAACGGGGCTTTCAGAGAGGCAGTTGTACTCACAGGTAACCAAAGTCGGACACGAGATCATCGATCTCTTGAGCCTCGAGCCTTTTTGAAGATCTGTTAACTCCTTCGGAAGGGACATGTCGTTGGACAGCACCATCATAGGCGTGAGCAGCCACAACAGAAGCTTTTCTGTGCTGAGACTCTTGTAATCTGCGTTCGAGCTTTTCTATCCTTGTTTCCAAGGTAGCAACATAGCTTCGCTCTTTACCTCTGGCAAACTGGTCACTGGTACTTGAGCACTCGACTTGTTTCCCTGACCTCTCGCATGCGGTGCAGGCCTGAGTTGATCAGCAAGACGCAAAGCAAAGGAAGTCAAGGCAAGCTCACGGNNGAAGTTTGCCGTCGCATTTGATCTTTGCAGACCTGCATCGCGAACAGGCAGCGACAGGACGACTGACCCTGAGTAAGGGGGTCTCGAGAACCATAGGGATCGAGATCTATAAAATTGTGGCTTGAATGGCTTCTGCGCATGGTCAGTCAGGACGAGATTCAGCGGCGCGCTGGAGCGAACGGAACAGAGTCCGTGGGGCAGGACGATGCAGGTAAGAAAAGGGCTTACGGACGAAAAAGAGTAGGAGTACCTGAGCCCGATGCGGCAGACAGAGTCAAAAGCAGCTGTCAGGGCTGAGGCCAAGGACGTTGATAGAGAGTGACCAGGAAAAGAAGGGCGGTCTTAGTGGATTTGACAGGGTGCGGCTCTTCCAGCTCCAGACCCCCTCTTGGGCTGCATCGAGAGACAACCGAGGAACTGTCGTGCCAGAGTTTGCGCTTCCGTCGCTGCTTGTTTTCCACTTTCCTGGCGGCAGCAAATCAGATGGCAGGAACGAGACCAAAAGAGCGAGACTTGGGTGTTTCTGGTTAGACCGGTCGGATCTTACACAGCTTGTCGGAAGATTGCAACGGCTTTTTCAAGCGACACTGCTGGATTTGCAATTGCTGCATGTTTCTGCTCGCGTATTCAAAGCCTGCTGGTCTTGGGACAGGAGCGGTGTCGAGGATCCTGACAGAGCAGAACCGCGCATGCTTTTATAGAACAAAGCTGTCCCCAGAGCCTCGCACAAGAGCGACGAAGCACCAGGGCGAGCAACGAGCAACGGGACCCTGATACTCAGACGGTCGATAGCGCCTCCCCGCAACAGCTGAGAAGTGGAGCCTCTGGTGTTGGTTGGACAAAAAGCGAATCTGCCACCGCCCTGTGAGACAAGGGCAACAAGGTACAGACGGGCGGCAGCGAAGTGCGGCATGAGGCGCACGTCGCGATCTGATAACCACGCCGTGAGAGAAAGCCTCATCGCCCCATCGGACTTGTACAGGCTGCCTCCTGTCTTAGGATGCAAGCCCCAGCAGCAGGGCCAGCCAAGGGCAAAGCCAAAGGCAGCGCCCACACGCACGCCGGAGCCGCGGCGGCCGACGATGGCTCGTCGCGAGTGGCTCACACGCTGACGGCATGCTCACGGTGCAGACAGGTACGGCGCCCTTTGCTACGAGTGACTTACGAGTAGACTAAGAGAGCGCAGCGCAAGACACGATGCGACCCTGGCCTGCCGCGCTGCGGACCCTGCGAGCGAACAAACTCGGTCTGCGAGTACTGGGACCCGGCCAAGGGCAAGAACGTCAACCGCGACTATGTCATCTACCTGCAGCAGCGCGTGCGCCAACTCGAGCTGGAGCTGGACAAGGTCGACAACGACGAGGGCCACGACGACCCCGAGCTCATGGTGCGCAGCGGCGCCGGCGTCAAGCTGCAAGAGCACGACGAGACCAAGTACCTGGGGCCCTCGAGCGGCACCCAGATCACCCGCCTGGTCATGCAGCTGGCCAAGCACTTTACCGACTCCAAGTCCATCAAGGAGATTGTCAACGAGACCAAGGCCCGCCAGGTCAAGGCCCTCTACGCCGAGGAGGCCACCAAGCCCACCTCCAAGATCTACCCCCTGACCAGTGATGTCGCCGCCGAAGACCTGCCCAACCGCGGCCTCACCGACCTCCTGATCCAGCTGTACAACCTCAAGGTCCAGCCCATGTATCCCGCCCTCCACGAGCCGTCGTTCGCCAAAGACGTCGACGTCGTCTACAGCGGCAGCCCGGACCCCTATCAGAACTACATTGTCCGCATGGTCATTGCCATCAGCCTGCAAAAGATGGATACTCAGTACGCCGGTCTTGCCGACAGCTACTACCTGGCCGCTCTCCAATACCTTAGCCCCGTCATTCGACCCATGAATCTGAGAACCCTACAAGCTTTCGCCTTGATCGCCGAGTAC